GGTCTAGCTACTTGACAATGAACAAAGACCACTTCTCATATAGCATCGCGCTTATAAACATAAAGGTGCCTGTATCTCCGAACTTTACAATGAAACGTGGGGTCTTTGATAGAACAATGTGCTCGGCTTGGCCAACTGCACCTTGGGTGCCAGTTTCACGATCAAGCTTGCCAATCCCAGATTTCGCAATGTCGCCACCAGCCAAACTGGATCCAGGGGTCGACCTCTTGAAACTTTTTTCGACGACCAAAAAATATTTTTTGGGCTGTTTGCGACATTGAACGCGAAACTTTCACACAAGGTGCTGTTGGCCAAGCCGAGCCCATTGCTCTATTAAAAACCCCACGTTTCATTGTAAAGTTTGGAGATACAGGCACGTTTATGTTTTACCTATGCTGTAAGCGTGATGGAGTTGCTTTTTCCTAGTGGGTGGTGTCGGCTGCATTAACTGAAAGATGAAGAGCTGGGTGAAACGGCACGTGGTGGTTACACAGACACGTCCTTGACAGGTTGCTACGCAAATGGATGATGATGATGATTGCCTTTTGTGAAGGTACGTAAGTAAACAGCATCCAATAATGAAGGTATGTCAAGGTATGCATCACATTTGCATGTAGGAGAAGGTCGAGCTGCATAAACCAATTTGTACATGTAAAAAGATACGTGTACTACATGTTGATGTGTCGCTCGTCTTGAAACTCAATAGAGGGATCACTTCACCTTTTCTCTTCTCAAGCTCATCCCACTTCCCATTCTTCCTTATTGTATCACAAACGCCATATACTTCTTGCATGACAGATAACCGGACCACCTTATTATTCCATTTTCGAAGCAATAGTATGTATGTAATCTACAAGCTAGCAAAGTCCAAGCGTGTAATAAATCAACAGTGCTTTATTTCATCTAGCTACATTGTCACCATCATCGTCGTCCGTCATCATTCGTACTCGTACTCGTAGACTATCAGCGTGTGAATCAGGAAGCTTTGGCGAAAGTAGTAGCAATGTTGCGGGAAAAGAAGAAAAAGCATCTTGATACGACTATGTAAATGATCCAGTCTCGCTTCTCAACCTTCAAATTGCTATTCCCCCTTTCAATCCAGATACCAACCAAGTGATCCACATCTTGCACATATGAGCTAATAGCACGATACCCTCATGAATAGTATGTTCAATCCAATTCCATCATTCAATGAAAGTCGAAGAGTACATAGCACATGGTAGTGTGGATGTTTATCTGGCAAGTATGATAAAAGTACAACATTGAATAAGAAGCGGGTGGACTACATAGAGGGACCAGGGATAATTGCACCGTTGTATTCTTGGTTGCTGCCACCATAACTATCCTTCATCCATGATTGCAAAGTAGCCGCTGTACGCCTTGAATCGAGTGCTCCAATACCCATCCATGGCTGTACAATAGTCAAGGATATGAGCCCTCTTATCCATGCCATCCAATCCATCATCATCACCCTCAGCCGTATCCACGTGACACGATTCATCGTCCTTGCTGACGACGCGCCAAGTAACCAAAGCAACATTCCAGGATTTCTCATCGCTGCACTTGATTGCATACATGCATCCATAACCATTGCAAGTCCAGTATGAAAGAGCCATGTGAGTATGCTTCGTTTTCCATCCGCTGATTGTCTGTATCGCAGCTCAACAAGGTGACGATTGCTTGTATTGTGGTATACTTGATAGCTAATATGGCACCCCATCCATTGGCATCCGTATGTACCAAAACATGTTGCTGCAAGTAACTTGAGACAATGGAGTAAAAGTCATACTAATAGCAACTGCTGTTACCCATGCGGTGGCATAGGAGTGTGCAAGGGCGTGTGTTGTAGTAGAGTGATAAGGTTATGAGTGCTGTTTGAGACAATGGAAAAAAGACCTCGCTGATAGCAATTGCTGCAATGAACGCTGTTGCGCTTGGTCGTGGTCGAGGATTGTACAAGGGAACGTGGAGTGTCAAGGGGCTCGTGTGTCGTAGTGGGTTGCATACGCCATGGACATGTCATTCAGGCGAAGGCATTCAGATCAAGACAGCTGCGGGATTGACATGATGGGTTGAAGCAGGACAATCGTTCGCAGGTTGTAGTTGATAGTTGAATGGGCTACAGTTGAGATTGGGAGGAAGAGGGAAGAAGCTGGTAGTGGAAGAACAACGAAAAGAGCGGCGATGCGCCATCCAAGTTGCGTATACGACGTATCCATACCTACCGTGTATGGTGATCATAAACATGCGAACATCATGGGCTCACCAAAATATATAGTCTCATCTTTCCTATGGAAACATACAAGCAATAAAAAGACAACCTCGTATCCAATTTTCAGGAACCAGCTTCTAATAGTCAATGACAACATTGAAAGGAACTCGACCGAGGACAAGTCGTTCGAGCTCTTTTCCTGCTCGCTCCAAAAGTCATAACCATTGAGTACTAAATGCGTCGTGTGCAGTGTCATGTCTTCTTAGGAGACCTTCATTAGAAAGCTGTTGTAGGATTATCTGCCAAGTTGAGCGAATAAAGGGTGAGGTGAAAGGCACCAAATTTCATGCTGGAGACCTACCTGTTTTTTCTTTGCGTGTGTGTTACACGACTCAGCATTCTATGCACATGATCCACATACCAGCCTCTCTTCGACCATGCGAGAGCAAGCACGATCTCCAAAAGGCCAAGGGCCAAGTGGGTGTTTATTCACTATCACTGTAACTGTAACTGTAATTGTCGCTGTCGCTGTCACTATAACTGTAACTGTCACTGTCACTGTCACTCTCAATATTTTCGGTAATGAGATGGTATAATTTGCGGTACACATAAGACATATTTTTAGCTTTCTGTAAATCATTCGGGCATGTGCGATCATCGAGCGTGCCGATTTTATACATTGCGCCGTCCATCACAATTCTGTCATTCTTCATAGGCTCCATATACTGCTGAAGCTCAGACAAAAATCTTTGCCAAACTGCAGCCGGATCGCTCATCCTTGGAATTTTAATCTGGAACATGCCAAGCACACCGTAGACATAATCAACAGGATCCATGCAGCGTCTACGGGATACAGACAATGACATTATTAAGGAGAAAAATCCTGATGCGCTCTTCTTTCCGATACGATGTTTGTTGAAAGCTCTAGCTTGGCATATCTCAAACATAAACCTTGATCTAAAATTCCCAGGCTTCCTGTCTACCATTTGATTCATCAGCAGCTGTGCCTATGTATTACATCCAAGTATCGCGTATGACCTACTTTTATCTTTGCGGCCTTCGATGTCATCCATTTTAAGATACAATAAAATATCGCATAAGTTTTTGAAGCAGTTAATTAAAGCATCCAGCGTCGTCGTGTTGGTTTGAAAGTGTTCATCGTCAGTTTCTGCTATAAAACGCACAGTTCCATAAGGTAGAGCCATCTCTTGCCAAGTCCAAACGCGCTTCCACCATTCACTTTGCTTCAACTGGTTCACCTGCGCATGAAGATGAGGGTATTTCGTGTACAAACGTTTGCCGCGTAAGAAGTCCTTTCCAATTGACAGGTTTCCTAGGACATAGAGCTCCTCCCTCATATTCTTCTTAGTACGAAAATTTGATAGTAGGCTAGGCTCACAATCGATCATGGCAATGCACTCAAGACAACAGGAATAAATGTCGCCCATGATGTCCAAGGGTGTATCGGTACGTGCACATAAAACATCGATCCACCAATAACTGTTGGGATGAGCCCTGAGCAGTGCAAGTAATGTGGCGCATTTTTCAGGTCGCATCGAAACAGGAGCTGCAGGTTGTCCATCTATATCATCCACGTAGTCGCCGATTTCCTCCCACAATTGTGGGTTGTCTTTTGAAATGCCCCAAAGATGTGACAACGCATAGTAAAAGGATGGAATGGATTTGGCGTTGTTGATCCTCGTGATTATCCGTTTTCGATGGTATGGATCAGTAGCAGGTCGTATGATTCGCATTTTGGCTCCATCTTTAGGTACGTATAGAAGCAAAAAGTACTTGTCGGCTAAGAGCGCACTCAGACCTTTATCGAAAAAGCGTTTAAGATGACCATCGTCATCATTCCACAAACGACGTATATCGAGCTGAAGAGAGAACGTATGAGTATAGTAATCTAGAATCAACAAGGATGATGTTTTACCACCTTGTTGAAGATATAGTGTTCATCAATGTCGTGTGTCATGTCGAAAAAAGAGGGAAGAGAGGCTGTGAATGTTGAAACGGCGTGGGATCGTCATCATAGACCCTATTTTGTATTTCCATTCTTAATATGAAAATAAGGTATTGCCATATACGAACAAACTCAGAGGTGTCCCATCTCCATATATCGCCGATGATGAATTTTGCAGCCTGGTGGCAGATTAATGAAGATTCTATCACTTCAACGAAGAAGATCCCTAGGTGCTTTGGAAAATAATAAATGTGCTCTCACGACAACCTTGGGCCCCACTTTATAAAGTGGCGTATACTGTAACATTGAGGTGATACAAGAAATCATGGCAACGTAACTCAGAGATTTAAAGTGATCGCTCATGAGGAGGCTGATAGTGCCCCTCTTTTCGTTCTTATGCCGCTCCACGTTTCATACAGCAGGTACATTCTGAGCCCCCAATGTAGCAGCAGAACTTGTCCATTGACGTTGAATGGTGTCTCGATTAGTACAAGGCGCATGTCGTAAACCCTCTTTGGTCTTCATTTGGTTGACAACGGTTGGGCTTCCAGCAGCCATGATCACCTTACAATGCCCGCCTGCATTACTACAGGACATGATATACAAGAAAGGCAAGCATAAGGAGAACAATGAAAACTTGTTTATTGTGTGCTAATGGTGGTTCTATCATTGAATAGTCTTCAAGGATCAAAACCTTCGTTACTCGAATATCATCGTGGTCTCTGCTTTTCGCTTCAACAAGGGGTTTGGTTCACCCGAATCATGTATTCAACGGTAGTCAGATTGGTGCAAGGCTTCTGAGAATATGATCATCAAGGTAAAAGCGAGATGTGCGATCCATGGTTGTTGGTCTGACGGTGTATCAAAGGACTTCGCTGCAGAAAATGGAGCTCTTGTCATCATCATTGGCGATCCTTTCTTTGTGAAGGTGATTCTCTCCCTTGTCATCTCGAAGGTTGCCTTGGGTATGTATAGTTTGGATTAGAGTAATCACTCTCGGCTAATGTTTTGCAATGGGACAGCAGCAGCTAAAGCCACTCAAGGTTACCAAAAAGGTTCTCTCACGTGCTGAAGGATCGGATATTGCAGCAATTGAGCAAGCATGCCTTGTTACGTAGGTGTTTATATGATACGGCTGTCAATGTTTCACCCGATGTTTATAAACGTATGCATGTTAGGTTTGAACGCTTTCAATTATATTCGGTGCTCCTTTGTGACACGACGCATGATCCAACTGGCAAAAGAAGCTTTATAGAACCATGTTTTCATTGAACACGTGTTTTTGACCCGAAGGATCCGGCTGCATCGGTATAGTGTAAAGCATGTTACAAGGAGGAAATGATGATGCTAACAGTTGAAGCTTTATTTTAGGAAAGAAGCTGTGCCATTGTGGATTCGTCAGCATTAACAATGAACGACCCAAAAATGGAATTTCCAATTGATCTGCTTCCATGAATGGAGAGGAGAGCTGGAGTTGAACGCCATGTGCATACAACAACAGCATACAATTGAGGAAGAAGAAGACTAAGACGGTGATCCATGTTCATTATTCTTTGTCAAATCTTGCTGTTTGCGCCATCTCAAATACGTACACCATGGCAGTCTCAGTCTCACATTGTAGGCGAACGCAACAATGTACAGCCAAAAACGATAGCATGGCATTGGCAAGTTTCTTTTGTGAGGGAGGAGGCAGCGCGATGGATATTGGAAAGAGCTTTGTGAGGTCTCGTTGGTGGAAGAACGTTTTGCCCTACCAGGTGTTCCAATGACTTTTATGTTTCTATGGCCGCTTCCGCTACATACTCTTGTCAAAAAGCAACAACAACCATTTCGCGGTTCATGAGCAGGAAATTTTACGACTTTGAGAGCTGCCGTTGTCTCGACATACTCCTGGCGCCGTGTGATGTTGACATAATGATATCATCCATTGACCATCCAAGAACGTGAAAATGTCATTTGTATTTTTAGCATCATGCACGCACATGTAAATAAAATGCATATCATGTTCTCATTGTTCTTTTCATTTCTTTCTATCTTCCTTTTGCATTTGATCATTGCTTGGTGTAAATTGTGCCCTTGCTTACATATCAAGTTGGAAGATGTTACCTCTCTCATGTTCGGAAGCATGATGTCTTGCATGGATCACGACGATGTTTGCTCACAACAGAATTCTAGCCATTGACAAAAGCGGATGCATAATATGGATGGCCAAAGTCACCAATAAAAAGAGAATGGGACCATGCCGGAATGAGATGCCTTATTGAGATAGAGTTAACTATGCAAACTATGTAGTGTCTCAAGTAGAATAGATTTCAATCGCCATCTCTTGTGATGATGGTGGCTATTGATCCAATGAAAAGCAACCAACATTATTGGTGATTGTGATACTACTAAAATGCCTGAGGAATGATGTAACAATCCTTTTATGTTTAATCGTCAATATCTTGAAACCAAGAGATGCATGCACCAACGCACATGCGAGATTATCTATAAAGTCGCTGTGGTCCAGTGTATGTTGTAAAGATTATGCAGCAGCTCGATCTCAAGATTAGAAATAGGGTAGATGAATCGGACATTGGTCATTTGGTATAGCGCGTATTTGTCGTGCATTATAATAATGCGTGGTTGGTAACCTTTTGGATCCTTGAGAGTGACAAAGATCGGCGTTTCCCAAAAATCAACAAACCGCGCGCAATTTGTTTCAGGGGTTTTTGCTGCTGCTGCTGCTTTCTATTCACCAAGGAGTATCACCATGTTTATTCTCAGGACAACCGACTAATGAAAACAAAGCTGCAGTCTGTTTTCCATTACGGATGTGTGCCGCCGAGCGGGTGTACATTATTCTATGTATGTACACATCTTTGGTAGTGAAGGAGATGAGAACGAAGAAAAGAAGAACAATTGACATTGTATATAGATCTCTCTCTCTCTCTCTTTTCCCCCACCTCCTCCTATAACATATTGCTCCCCGCCGCCGATTTCCCTCCTTTCACATCTCCGGAAAAAGTGTACCAAGAGATTCATCAGAAAAGGAGAAAACGAGGAGTAGCACACATACACATTACACGCTAGAAGAGACTTGCCACAATCAACGAATTTCCCCAGACACTAGAGGCCTAACGTACGCACACGCACACACAAATACACGCACAACAATCAAGCATTCTTCTCTTGGCACACATACAGCTCACACACTCTTTTTCTCTCTCTCTCTTTCTTTCCTTCCTTTCTTTTTTTCTTTTGCTGTTCCTCTCTTTCTTGTTTTGAATTGCTCCCCATCACGTAACGTGCATTTATCCATTCCTTCATTTGTCGACATTGGGTGCACGACAATCGACACCACCACCGCATGCTCTATGCATCCCATTACAGAGTCGTCCTTTTATGGGTCTCTGTACGACCAGCAACAACCATGCACCACTAACACTACCACCACCACAACCACCACAACCAATTCAACTGCCAACACAAGTCCCCTTACGTCTTTTTCATGCTGTTGCTGCTGCTGCTGTTGTTGTTGTTGTTATACAGCATCTACGACGTCGACGACGCATGACCATGCAACACCATCCTCATGCTGTGACGACGATGCCCTCTATCAAACGTATAATCGATTCTCCATTGGCGATGAAGAAGAGGATGATGAAGACAATACAACGTGTTCATTATGCAACAATCATCATTCACCACACCATAATCGACATGAAGCAAAAACGACCGCCGATGATGTATACGAGCGCATGGATAAGCAAACAGCCAAACGCATGCATGCGATTCGTGAATTATTGCAGACAGAGCGAGATTACGTGGTTGATCTAGGTCGATTGGTGGAGGTATGTCTATACATTGGATAAGAGAAGGAAGGGTATTGACTTAAAGATGGATTAGGTGTTTTTTGAAGTACTAAGTCGACAAGAATGGATTCCTCATGAACATAAACTGGTGATCATTCGTAATGCAGCGGACCTTTTGGCGTTTCACAGGGATTTCCTCGTTGCCTTGGAGAACCCTAGACAACATCAAGTATTCGATGATGTGGATGATCAGGAGGAGGAAGAAGAACAACATATCGCCAACACCTTTTTGGATATGGTACGTTGTGGGCGCGCGTTTATCATCATCTACACCCTTATCGTTCTTTTTCTCCTTGCTGTTCCCTTTTTTCCATTCCCCTTGGAGCGTCCCTTTATTTCACTTTTTGTACTCGGCCACCACCACGGACATACATGTACACACTCCTAAACTGAGTTTATCTTTTTCTAGGGCAATGATTTCCATCTATACACTGAATACTGTGATTTCCATGACGATGCATGGCAACTATGTGAAGAATACCGTGATCGACCTGAATGGGCCTTTTTTCTCAAGGAATGCATGGCAGCTGAATCAGCAACCTCTTCGGTGGCTACAGGGTCATGTTTGGATCCCGCAGCTGGTCTGATGGGCACAACAAGTCATGGTGGTGGTAGTAGTAGTGGTAGCGGTGTTTTACCAGCAGGCAATGGAAAACGACTTCAATTTGAAGATTATCTTATCAAGGTAACCATGGCAGGAATGAGAATGATTTAATATACTCAAAAAAGATCATATAGCCTGTACAACGGATATGTCGATACCAGTTACTCATGCGAGAAATACTCCGCTATACACCACCCGAGAATCCAGGATTTGAGACATTGCAACAAGCCATGGATCGAATGCAAGTCATTGTCACCACCATTGATCAACGTAAACATGAACGGCATATACGTGAACGCACAGACCGATTTGTGCAACGTTTGGCAGTGGATAATGATTGGAGGATCGGACGACAACATGTGGCACGCTTGGGCAGTTTACTCATTGCAGGTGCTATTGAAGTCACTTACACGGCACTTGGTCAAAGTGTCGCCAAACCACGTTACCTTGGTTGTTTTATCTTTTCAGCCTACATGATTTTGGTTCGACCCAAAAAAGTGACATCCTATGAACCCAAGCATTGGTTTCCTTTACGATTGGCAGAGCTTGAGGACTTGGCGGATGTGGAAGGTCAAAGAGAGCATGCCTTTGTGGTGCGATGCAAGAAACATACGTTTGCCTTTAGTGCAACATGCCATGCGGAGAAGCAATTGTGGATGCGCCATTTACGCAATGCCATGGAAACGAGTCGTGAACAAGAACATGATGTAGTGGATTTGATTGTGCCTTCTTTGTCCGGGATCCCTGATGGAAAAGGAGGTAGCAGTGGTGTATCAACAGCAGGAGCAGGAGGATCGTCATCATCATCACAACAGCAGGAACAAACAAGTGGTGGCGTACGATTATCACGATCCTTTACCAACATGCTGGATCTCAAATCACCTGTGGCACCTATCAAACGATCCGTATCCACCAGCATTCAATTATTGGAACAGACACGAGGAGCGGATGATGAATTGATGACACCCTTACCAAGAACCACCAAGCTCAAAAAACGACATTCAGCTGATTACCCTACACGACGCAAAGATGAGCATCCACCCATGATCAAGACACGCAATCATTCCGAATCCTATATCACCACAGGACGTAAACGACCTGGATCCATGGACATGTTATCATCCTCAACATCATCATCATCCTCACCGAGTATGATTGGCAAGATCAAGAGCAATCATCAAAACGCATTACGCATTGCGGTGGATCACAAATTGCATGATGTTTGTACACAAGATTATCTATCGACACGATTCAATTTGAATGATAGTATGCGGAAACGTAAATCCATGCCATCATTCATTCGATCCTCTGCATCCAGCTTTTCCATCATGTCACCTACAACAACAACTACAACCCATACACCCATGTTGTATCATCGCCGTATCAGTGAACAATCCACCACGCCATCCACCACGACTACCACCACACCTTCTCCTCCACCTCAACCAACCATCACCACAACCACTACACGCTATGATCCAGAATCTTATTTCAATGCATCCGATTCTCCTTATCCACGGCTACAACTACCCTTAGCACCCATTTATCATGATGGCGACGATGATGAAGAAGATATTTACAGTGCATCAGGAGCAGGAGCAGGTACCGTTGTTGGAGGAGAAGGAAGAGGTACTGCCATGACAGAACCCCCTGGATCTTATGGTCGCGCAAGAGGCAGTCTTCATCATCATCATCATGGTGTACCAAGCATGTACTCTGCTATGGACCCATCTCATCGTACACTCTCAACGTTTACGCTACATCACAAGACCAATGCATTGGTGGATCGTGTGTTTGATAAATTCAAGTTGACCAAAAGTATCAGCACACGTCGTCGTAGACAACATCAACAACAACAAGAGAACGATTATGATGATCCTTCAGAAGATGGTCGTTCGTATCATCATCCCATGAGTGATGTAAGTGGATGTGGTGGTGTCTGTGATTTTTATAGGATGATTGGCTCATTTTCTTTATAGACCGATACAACACGACCTTATGATACCCTATCGGATGTAGCTTCAAGGAAAACAACAACCCTTCGATCAAGAAAAGCATCCACTTTATTTCGATGGATCCGAAGCGAGGATGGTCATGCATCCAATACCACTACCACCACCACTACTACTCGACGACCCCCACCGCCACCACCACCCCCTTCTTCCACTTGTTCAACTGAATATCAACATCGTCGTCGTCATCGTCAACAACAACAACAACAACCAACCGCATTTGCTTACGCATCCACACCTGCACAACAACGTCCTCGATGGAAACGAAGATTTAGTACACGTAATATAGCGGATCAGTGTAGATGATGATTCCCCACCCACAAACACACTTTTTAATGATACACTTTTACTATTATACGCTCTACTAATGAACATCTCCACAAACTTGATACATAATCTTATATTATTTATGATGATTGGGATGATACAGGGCAAGCAGCTCCTTTTTGACCGGTTACAGGGCATGCCATGGCTTGTTGTTGTTGTTGGGACATGGGACATGCGGATGGAATGGATGAAGTTTGGCCTGTCACGGGACATGTGGTTGCTGCTGCTGCTTCAGAGACTTGACCTGTTACAGGACATACACCTCCTTGACCTGTCACGGGACATGCCATGGTATCACTCTTCGTCTGAGGTGCTTCATAAATCACTTGGTCTCTTTGTTGTTCATGATCCACGCTCTCCGGGTATGCATCCTCTTCCTCCATCCATGAACCCTCCTCCTTTGTAATCCATGTTGTATAATCCTTGCTTTGTCGCCATTGTGTGTTGAGTGATTGTTCAAGTGCAAAGACATGAGGAGGCTCCATCCCACTGCATGATTTCTTGACAGCTTGGAATACAGCCTAATAACATCAAAGGTCAACTACCATTTTTCTCTCCCCAACATGTGATAGCTATATACTTACTTTGAGTAAGGTGGGTGGTAAAGTAGACCAATGATCCAAGATGGTTTGACTCCAATGATTGTTCACTTTCTCGAGGTTGCTTCGAATCTCCTCCAAGGACTCTGCTGCCTATTCCAACATGAGTCTCCCATCCAAGTTTTTCTCTCTCATATACTTACCCCAAATACACGTTGAATCTCATTTTCCCAAACACCCAATCGATCAGGACCAGGGTATGTATGTGCAGTGGCAAGACCCAATTGGACAGCTGTGGCAGTAGCAGGAGGTGGACATAGACTCATCTTTTTGACGGTTTCCAAAACATTGTGGAATTGAGCGCCAGGCACAAAGACATCCGCCAAACCCAACTTGAGTAATTCAGGACCCCGTAAACGGACCAATTCAGGTGGAGCCAAAGCCAGATACAATTCAATCCCCTGGGGAAGGTTGGGCTTGCGTGATCGGCACAAGGTCAATAAAAGCAAAGGCGGTACGGGTGCATGTGACAATGTCAATCCCAAGGGTAGTACAGCATGTTCGGTCACCACGCGAATGAATCGATGCCATAGGAACAAGTAACTTGCATTGGTAGGGATGGCGCCATCCATAAAGACAAGGCAGGGTTTCTTTAAGGAGAGGATCGTTTGTTCCACACTCTGATAGTAACTCTGCGCCAGCTTTTCCAAGGATGCAATGGCGTTGGCTTTTTGTTGGATGGCTAAATCATACGTCTCTCGATACGCTAAACCGCTGCTGGCTACTGTTTCAGAGGTGACGAGTGAATTCAACATGTGTGCTGTGGCTTCTTGCGATTGCTCGGATGCTTCCAGTGCTTTTCTCAATGCCTCCAATCGATCGATGGTCAATACATTACGCGTGCTGGGGGATGATAATGTCAAGGTGGTAGCACCACGTCCCTCGCTGGCAACAATGAAATCGGAACCTGCCGACCCTGATGCTGTACGCTTGGATCCGTCACCCTTGTTTTGCCATAAATGGGCAAAAGGACATGCTGGTTGATTCGCTTCCTTTTTCTCTTGAGCCCATGCGAAATAGTCATCCATATCCACACTCGTATCCACATGTCTAATAACGTTGATGTCAGGTCGTTGCCATGGAGACATGCACACACACACACACACTAACCTTGTATAATACTGTGCCTGAGCCTTTTTGAATTCTTCATCCAAGCGCGTCTTATCCCAAATCACACCTTGTTGTGTTTGCTGATTCACCCATTCCTGAACCACCGTCGATAATCCATCCAAGTACTTTTCATCATGATCATAATCGTATTGCTCCAATTGCTGATAACGAGCTTCCTTTGGATCCTTTTTGCCACCTGTTTGCTGTTCAAGTTGCTTGTATTGAAGATACTGATCCAAATCAAACGCTTGATTAAACCTTGAGTTACCATGTTAGTAACTTTTTTCTCTCCTTGTCTATGACTTTTGTTTACCTTGAAAAGAAAAAGTGTTTGGCTCTTAAGAGTTGACGATCCTTGTCTTCATTGTCATTGTCGGTGGGTGGGAGATTGCTGAGGATATTATCAAGGCCAGCTTGAAAGACAGTGTCGGCTTCCCATGGGTATTGGTCAAATGTGTCAAATGTCTTTTTCTGTTCGGCTGTGAATGCGTCCATTGACTCGACGATTAGAGAGAGAGTGTGTGTGTGGGGTAGTCGTAGTAATAAAGAAAGAGCGAGAAAGGTTAAATGACACCACCGCGGCCTTATGATAGGACGAGAGCATGCATTACTCAGCAAAATATACCCCAGCTTATTGGGTGTCACAAACTATATCTCGAGTCGGATTCGCATAGACACTGCCTTTGCGCCCTACCATAGCAAGCTTGTTATTGTCGATTCCAGTTGCTTGACTGATGTCACGTGACGAGGGTGCATGGATGCATGAACTACGTTGTTTGAAAAGCTTGTCTATAATAAATTCAATGCATAGACCTAATGCTATTAATCAAATACATGATCCACCAATGAGAATGTTAAGTTTGGGATATGTAATGATCTACCAAAGGGATCGGATGATCATGCTGCCGATCATTGTTGTGAAACTTGCCGACTCATCATCTATCCACAAGCATGTTTACCCTAAGCTTGACGTATCATCCATGCTTGATAAGTGCGCTTTGAATGTTTTCATTTGATGAAAAAGTGATCAATACTACATCTTTGAGGAGAGATGCCAACCCAGCATTACATCATCTTGATCAAAAACTTCCATTCTTATCATCATCAAGGGTCTGGTTTATACATACGACGGGTAAGCCATGGGGCAGTTCACATACATTAACATGCTCATGCTGTTTGTTTACATGTGGGCATTTTCTACAAAAACAAGAATGTTTGTTTCTTATCATGGTAGCTTGTCGAAGGAGGCCAAGTACCACTCGCCTTTAAAGAGGACCCTCATCTCGGCTCCAGGTAATGAAAACGTGCCTCGAAAAAGAAACGAGCCGTTTACAAAAGACAACCCCTCCATCTACATTACGCTATAGCATATGCTAGGTTATTTTCCAACACGCAAGGTGTCAAAAGTGATGGAACAGGGTCGAGCCGGGCATCCTTCCGAAAAAGGATCGGAACTCGGCATGCATTTGTGTTACAGTAACTTTAATATCTCGACAGCTGTTACATGTTGCTGCATGCACGATGCAGCATCCGTCATTGGCACACACACACACACACACATCTTTGTCACAACCAACATGATTACAAAAAAAAGCTATCCAACGAGCGAGAAAGATGATCACAACCATTGACTCTCACGGATAGGCGTACACACCAAGATGTTGTCTCACGTCTTACATACACCTCCACTGAACAATAATAATGCAGGGCACCAGGTTAGTAGTATGTCATACCGTTTATTGTCACGTTGACACGCAAGTTTCAGGATCAAACAATCTGCAGGTGGCTGTTACTATATATACAACATCAACATCAACATCATGATGATGCTACAATTGTTGTTGCTGCTGATGCAGCGGTAGTGAATAAAAGGATACATCACGCGACAAAAGGAAAAGCGGAAAAAGTTTCCCTGGTTGCACATGTGTGATCTTACTATGCAGTAACGACAACGCGGGAAGTGAGTGCGAGAACAAAAAGCCCTCTCGCTCGCTCTTGGCAAGTTTTTTTTTCTCACCTCTTCTCTCTCTCGCTTTTTTTTTCTTTTTTACCACACACACACACGCACACAACATGTCGTCCACAGAATACGGATCCGTGCCTCGAAGTGATGAAGAAGCTCACACCGTGGAACAAACCCGCTGGCAAAAATGCCGAAGCCATCTTGGCAAGCATGGCCATCGTATTTTCATTGCTTGGTTCATTATCATTTTGGTGGCTGCTGTTTTGACCTTGTCTTTCCACTTTTCCTTGATTCCTTCCCATCATGAACAACCCGCTGAGGGTGATGATGATTTGGTGAACATGCAATGCACATCCGATCGTAGCTGGCTTTTGACTTTACTTCTTTCCATCTTCTTTGGTTGCTTCGGTAAGTACATATACAAAAGGTGATGATGATGAGGGATTGATAATAATGGGGTGATGTGTATAGGTGTGGATCGTTTCTATCTCGGTTACATCTTTTTGGGTATTCTTAAATTGATCACTGCTGGTTTGGGTGGTATCTGGTGGGTCGTGGATATCATTCTCATTGCTCTTAATGTCCTCACCGATCATCCCAACGGATGCCATCTCCATTAATCTTGTATACCATTTCCCCACAATAAAACATAGTCATATCATTCCTGGGAATAAGTGTATTATTATACTTTATTTGATCTTTGGATAAGGTCCTAATCGTTCACGTTCCTTGCGTGCTCGTACATCGATATTACGTTCCTTCCATGAGCTCTTTCGTAACTTGATGGGTCGATTGCCAACGTATTTACCTACATACACACGAGTAAAATGAATAACCAATCCCACTCACTCTCTCTCTGTATCCATATCCTTTCTTTACTTACCATTCATTTCTCTCCATGCCTTGACAAAATCATTGGGATCTCTGAAACTCAAAAAGCCATAGCCACGCGTTTTGCCTGTACGTTTATCCCGGACCACACGCGTACGTTGGAGACTGGTGTATTTGGAGAATGCCTTGAAGAGCAATTCATCGGTCACCTCATTACCCAAATCGCCTGCAAACAATCGATAATCGTTATCGTCCCAATCCTGTAATGTTGGATCTTCCCATACTTCACCACCTGCTGCACGTACAGTGGCGGCTGGTGCTGATTTCTTTTTGCCCTTTTTCTTGCTGTTGCTGGTAGCATCTTCTTCTTTGGGTTTGGCATTGGGTCCTGCATAGCCAGATGTTGATACATGAATAGGTCCACCTGCTCCTCCTTTGGCTGCGGGTGATGATGGGGATCCTGTGGCACCGGCTGATGCAGCAGCATGGGCAGCAGCATGGGCAGCAGCGGCAGCGGCAGCGGCAGCAGCAGCGGATGAAGCAGCAACACCTACATTGGCTTGTGGCATATAAGTGGATTGTTGAGACGCGACATCCATGGCTGCTACAGGTTGAATAGGTACCGAAGGAACTGTACTCGTCGTCGTATTGCCGGCTGTGTTGTAATACTGTGCATAATAGTTGGGATCATAGTAGGCAGAAGATGCATCGTACGTTGACGGATCGTAGTTGTAATAGCTGCTATAATCGTAGCCCGAGTAATAATAGGGATCGTAATAAGAAGAAGCATCAGCTGTAGCTGCAGCATTGGCATCCGTGGCTGTATGGTTGGGATCGGAAGACGATGAGGCGTCCTTTGCTGAACTCATGGAGAAGGGCTGGGTCGTGTGTGTGTGTGTCAAGAGAAACAAGTCGTCGAATAGCAAAGAAATTCGGATCACCCCCCTTTAAACAATTCCCGATCACGTGCCCACCCTCACATTCGTCCATCGAATAAAGAGCACATGGCCTTCTTTGTGATAAGCTCATTGTCATGATTATATATTATAGCTTTCATTGTCGTCCTTATGAAACGCAAACTTTTACATATTTCTCATGCCGATGTATATACTTTTTTTTTAGCAATATCACATATAAACCTTGTTCATTGGCAATATAATGCTATCCCACGAGTAAAAGACAGTAGCAGCACTAATCTGTTCATGATAAGAAGTTACGACGAACGTTTGGTACAACGACCTCGTGATAAGTGGATGTCCCAGAATCAAAATAATCAGCATTGGTGATCAATCACGTAAACTTTATAGTGCGTTCGAAATTCTTGATTATCTTTCAATGCTTGTCACGTTAGAGATACTTTTATCATGTCAGCTATGTCCAAGTTAAAAGTCTTCAGGAAGCTTGGCGACACAAGAGTTACCTAGCATAAACGTGAAATACCACTCTTTATTAGTATCAGGCCTCACACTCCGGTTGTTATCTTTTAATGTATTACTTACGGCCCATCTTACTTGTAGCCTGGTTAGCGAAACTCATTAAATGAGTGCATTGGTTCCAAAGGCATTCATCTGCAAATCTAAACTGAGAGCAGTCAACCCCAGCAGGAGGTGTGTTACAAGAGTGGGAAGCCACTAGAGATATCATTTTGAGTAATCGTGCTTATTACTTGGATGGAGAGTCCTTTTTACAACATACCGGTCTTCATAGTGTCATAAACTCCTCGTGTGATCTCCCAGGTGCAAGGTTCACCAGTGCACTTTTCTACTTTTTTCCTTTTCCCTCTGCATACGTTGGGAGTAATTGCGTCAGGAGGAAGTTCAGCAGCAAACATAGGAGTGATAAAGAAGAGCAGCCCAAGCAGACTGATCAATTTCATGGTAACCTTGAAGATGACAATAAACGGAAAGAGTGGCAGTATGATACTTGATGATATTGCCCTTGCCTTAAATATTGGATTGGGAGGCAGTAAGCGCTGAGTGAAAGGCGATATTTTAAGGAGACCCATGTGCATCGTCAATGGGATGCATGCATTGCTTAAATGTGTCATCAATGTTGCAGTCATCAGGTTGAGTGATTCGTTTTGACTGCCCAGCTCCATCTCCTAGGTACTCTTGCATGTATAAAACCGAAATCATTATTGTGCGTAGTAGTCTATTGTCATTCTCTCTTTCTATACCAGACACAGTCTACATAATATAGCCAGGTTTAATTATGTGGCGAACATCCATGATTTCAGCCCCACTGTATTACCCCTGCATGCAGAATCTTTTTGGCTAGAGTAATCTCTGAAGCCTCAAATGGATATACACAGCCGCCTTATGCGTACCAGGAGCTGGCTCATGTTCAGGGTTCTGTCTCGGCTCATCCAGGAGTTTTATTTCCATCCTGTTACGCTTCAACATGCACGCACATGGTTATGCTTGTATTAGTAGCCATGCATACAATGGATGGCGACGCCTTTTATTCACATCAGGGATCATATAAATTATTATCTTGGTTGCCGTGGCAACTCCGCGACTGCAAAGTTGCAGGGAAGTTAAAGGGGAATCGCCGCTCTTCCTTCCATTGCTGTACCGCTCCCACCCTCATTACACTTGGTATGACAGGTCCATTCGAAACTAAAAGTTGCAAGACACCTTGTTCCATTGACGTTGACTGCTGTCTCATGTAGTTCAACGCGTGCGTTTTTGCCTACAAGTCGATCCCCTTTTGGGTCTTGCATTCCCTTGACAACGATTCGGTTTCCAACAAAGCTCTTTGTCTTGTTGCTCACGTGAATCGGGGCTAGTTTGGAAGGTAAATACAACGATCCATGAATACAACGAGCTTGTTCATTATGTGCTAATAACAAAGCTATAGTCGAATAGTCTTCAAATACTACTCGTTTCATCAGGCAGTGGACAGCTTCCTTGGCCGAATACCATCAGCATCGCGCTTTTGCTTCAACTCTCAATTTGGTTCAAGTATCCTGGTAGATCCGAGACTTCTGAGCACATGATCATCGAGGTAAAAGTGAGATTTGCAATGCATTGTTGCTGGTCTGACCGTGTACATCGCTTTGGAAAAAGGAGCTCTTATCATCATTGGCGATCCTTTCTTTGTGAAGGTGATTCTCTCCCTTGTCATCTCAAAGGTTGTTTTGGGTATGTATCTTTTGGATTGGAGTAGGCATCGTCGACTCATGTTTTGCAATAGGATAGCAACAGCTAAGGTCATTTCAAAGTTGCCAAAAGGCTCTCTCGTGTGCTGAAGGATTGGATGCTGCAATCGGGCATGGATGACATGTTGTGTAAGTGCTTATTTGGTATCGATGCCAATGTTTGAATCTGATTAAACATGTTAGTTGGATCATCGCCTTTGGGACAAGGTGCACGGGCCAGCTGTCAGAGGAGACCTTATCATCATGCTCGGAAGACCCATTATCGAACACACATATTTGGCATCAAGGATCCAGCTGCATCAGTACAGTATTACTTACAAAAGATGTTACAAGAGGTAAGCTAACATTTGGAATCCTATCTTAGGGGAGAAATTGTGCCAGGTTGGTTCCGTCAGCTAACCAGCAATCGATTTACTACGATTGATTCGATCCCAAACAACGGAGAGGAGGAGTTGGTATTGGAGGGCGAGTTCATGATGCATCAAACTATTACAGCAATATCAAGGAGTTGGAAGATTATTTGACAGCATATCACAAGAGAAGTTCCATCATGTCAGCCTTATCAACAATGAAGCCTCAAAAATACACCGCTACATACCATGACACTGGCGAGTTTCTTTGTTGATGAGCACAGCCCGATGTTGTATACGAAGCTAGTCGTCTCATGTCAGCGGCGGATCCATGCATTTACACTATTACACTACCTTGGCTCTTTGATGAAGACGTCTTCTGGATGTGGATGTGCCGCCCTCCCTTATCAGCCCATGCACCAATTTATCAAATCAGCGTCATCATGCCCACCAACATTTATCATTCTTTGTGATCACTGAAATACCCACGCCCACCCACCGTACACATATAAGCAACGGTGTTGTCGCCTCACATACATCATCCCTTCCTTCCATCATATCACCCTTTCATTACTTTACACCATCAAGATCCCATCTTGGTAAGTATCATGGATAGCCATTTTGCAATCTTGTGGATGTGAACTAATGCATGTGGTCATTCATATGTAGGCTTTCATTGTTATCCTTCTTTCTCTTTCATTGTCGTTATTGCCATTGTGACGCTGGAGTCCTTGAACGAGGTTAAGACATTGCAAGCATCTTAATTGATGGATCACATACCAACAGGCGTCTCATATTCCTTTCCATGTAGCTCTCCCATGATGCATCTGCAAAAGCTGGCACTGACAACAACATGGTCTGCCTCTATAGGCTGAAATTGATGTGGAGCACGTGAATATGGATTGCAAGTTCGGACGTTTGAACCGGTTGAAGAACGACATGTACCGTAGCTGAAACAGTGCTGCAATACCTCGTGTATGTGTGCCATTTAGAAAAGGCAATGACGGGTCTTTTTCCGAGGATGATGAAACAGAGCTTCTTAAGGGATTGGAAATGCTCAATGCCGACCTCTTTGTGGATCCATGTATACTGGCTGCAAGAATAGCATGGATTAGGATGATCACCCATCTTATAGCATGTTAAATAGCATCATCACCGAAAAGTAGGATTAAGAGAAAAGAGCATGTTTATACTAAATAACAACCTTGTGGGATTTGAGATGGGAATGGAATGAGGTGCTACATATGGAGTTGGGTCAAAATCAAAAGATGAATACATAGGATGCGTAACTTGCTCATTCTTGTGGAGGAGGAGTAGGAGTACGATATCATCGCTGCGAGCTGCGTGCTGCATAACAAAATAGCGAGTGTGGCATTGTTGTTGACAGGTTGTACAAAGGATGATGAATGCAGCTGCCGTGGAATACAGTAACGTTTAAAGTACGATAATTGGATGCACTAATCGTTTAGGATGATAGCATCAAGCATCAAAGTTAAGTTGACAATGGATCCATAAGAACAAAGGCTCTTTTTACATGCATTGTATATAACCATATCCCTCTATCCCATATACCAAACCGATATCCATATCCATATCCATATCCATATCCATCATAGGAATTCGATTGTATTGATACAAGTTGCTACACTTATAAAGCTACTTCTATAATGACTATCTGCTGGTCATGTGAAGTAAGGCTGCAAGCTGGGTTGTTGCAAGTAACTTGAGACACTAGAGTAAAGACCTTGCTAATAGCAACTGCTGTTGCGTTTCGTCGTGGCAAGGAGTGTGCAAGAGCATGTGTTGTAGTAGGGTGGCAAAGTTGTGAATGCTGTTTGAGACAATGGAGTATAGAGTAGCTGCTGCAATGAACGCTGTTACGGTTGGTCTTGATAGAGGAGTGTACAAGAGGAGGTGGTGTGTCAAGAAACGCGTGTGTTGTAGTGGGGTGCAGCACGCCATGGACTTGCATTCAGTCGAAGGCAATCGGATCAAGAGAGCTGTAATATTGACATGATGGGTTGAAGCAGGACAATCGTTTGCAGGCGCTAGTTGTACTTGAATGGGCCAACAGTGGAGAACGGGAGGAAGAGGAAAGGTGGAAGAAGTGGAAATTAAATAGGTTGGACACCTCTTGTATAAATGCATGAACACTGTACATCAAACCTTAATAGTGGGATTCCCCCATCTCGAACCTGAAACTTTCACACATGATGCTCTTGAACATGCTGATCAACTTTGTATTATAAAAGAACCTATACTTCATTATGGGAGTTTTGAATGGGGGCATCCAGATGTAGGAGAACAATGAGAAGAAGCTATCATGAATGACCACATGCATTGGCTCAAATCCACAAGGTTTAAAGAGCGCCTGGTCACCATGGCAATGGCGTAAATGTGGGTTTTGACACCTTAAGTAATCGAAATAGCATGATAGAGGAAAGAGATGAGTGGGCGTAAAATGGTCCATGACAGTACCTTTTTGTATGTGCATAACGGATGCATGGAGTTTTTGTAATCACAAAGAGAAAAGAATGAGCCATGGGTTGGTAGAATGGTGCTTGAGCTGATAAAGTAATGGGGCCCCGATATCAGGATTGCTTTTCTTGTGTTGGTTGTCCATGCATTAATCGGCCAAATTACGCCAGGTGGCACCATCATCTCTGTTGTCTTGGCATTTTTCAAGTCATCTATCCTTATCATTGTCATGCTATCTTTGATCCTCTTTATGTAGTAGTGGTGTGAGCACAAAGTATCGTACCCTATCCATCAGCAGTAAAGCAGTCTATGGCAACAACAAAGCTCTTGGAGCATTGAGGATCCAACATCAAGCCCGATTTGTAGGTAGGTCTCACACTTAACCACGCATACAGCATCAAGTTGTTGTTCACAAGTACTAGGTGGATAAAATTGCTCATGGCATCAAGCCACATATAGATGATATGGGATCGACACGGGCAAGTGTTGTGTAAGGCATGTAGCACAAGACATCTTTAGATTATGATGTTAGTCTGAATGGACTATTTTTTCTTCCTCATTTGTGTATTTTTCTTGGAAGGGGAATATATAGGCGTAGCACAAAGGCCCAACAAGCGGGGTGGCGGCTGGGAGAAGGAGGAGCACTTTTTTGTGTCTGAGCTTTATTGTTTTATATGAAAGAGCCGCTCCTATTGGCAAAGAGGCCGGGTGTGCAAGTCGCGATGATCGCTAAGGTTTATGGCAAGGTGACACGATTTTCATTAAAATCGCTTGTATCTCCCCAACTACCCTTCCATGTTAACCAACACACTTGTTTTTCTCTCTCTCTTTCTTTCTCCCTTTTCCATTCTTTATTTTATACCCTTGTGTATATAACACACACACACCCTCTCTCTCCCTTTTTCTTCTCTATGAGATGACCCTTTTGACACGCCGTTCCTTTTTGTCATTGTTATTCTTGTGTATTGTTGCAAGTCATGTTGCATTATGTGTCCCATCTCGTGGTAACGTATACTTTTGCTCTCTCTCTTTTTGGGTTTGGCTTTATATTTATAGATGTATCCATGTAGAGAAAAGACATCTAATGCCAAGACAGCAAGAAGAGGATGGTAGTGGTAGTGGTGGTGATGCTGTCACTACAGGCGATTACTATTATACACAACCATCATGGGAAGAAGGATATGGTGATGATGACGATGGCACAGCTTCAGACACCGGCAGCGCATCAGCAGCTACACCTACGAATGATCCGGGATCGAGCGGTACTGATGGTGGTGGAGGAGGATCCATGTCGCCAACACCAGCAGCATCGGATGATAATAACAGTGGTTGGTACTCTCCGACAGCAAGTAACACCATCGATAATGGACAACAACAACAACCCACCTCAACCGATGCAGCATCACCTACCAATGATCAAACAGCATCAGCATCCGATAACAATCAACCACCATCATCATCGAGTGAGAGTGATCAATCAATTGTACCAGCAGCAGCAGCCCCTTCTACATCATCGGATGAGCAACAACAACAACAAGATACCACCACCACTGATATCCCACCTACGAGTACAACCGATCCAGCTGCCGCTACTACTACTACAATGAGCAACAATGATCAAGCTACAACATCATCGAATAATGATGCTACTACTACAACAACTACAACTTCCTTTTCAGTGACTTCATCTACAGCTACACCTTCCTTGGTATTGGGGTCACATGAGTGTGCTTCTGATACCCATGCTGTCAATGGTGAATGTCCCTCTGATTATTTTTGCAATGCAGCTACACATGCATGTGTTCAGCTCTTGGCCAACGGTGATCAATGTTTTGAAGATTTCCAATGTAGCTCATCTTTTTGTGTGGATGGCACTTGTAACGATCAGCCTGCAAAAGAGGGTGCCCAATTATCGGGTGGACAAATTGCCGGTATCACAATTGGTTCTGTAGCCGGGGCTGTTGTATTGATCGGTGCGTTTATGTTTTGCATGAAAAGACGTCGTCGCTATGGTGGTGGTAATAACAGCAGCAGCCGTGCTCGCAAGTTTGAACAAATTCGTGCTCAAGATGATGCTGAAGCCGATGTCAATATGGTGGAACGTGGCGATGGTGGTGTTCGTGACTCTAAATACAACATGCTGACCTCCTTAATGCAACGAGCCAGTGGCGGTCAAACCATGTCGTATGGTAATGTGGGTGCCGATGCAGCACCACCAGCTATGGTAGAACAACAACAACATCAACAACAGCCTTATAATACCATGATGGCAGTGCCAACAGCAACAACAAACAACCATCGAGAATCCAAAGTTCAAGAACCTGTGATGGATCAATGTGCCTATGAAGCTCAACAATATTATGGTAGCCTTGCCACGGATGTGGAACCTTCATCACCTGCCCCTGGTGCTAACCCACAACACAAGAGTTGGATGACGACTGGATCGGCTATTGATCCTCATGTTGTAGAACGACCTCCTACCACCTTGGTACGCGATTCGACCCTCAACAACTTGCATGCACCTTTATTCCATGTCACTGGTCCTGCTGATCCCAATACTGTGCCTGCAGGTGGTGAAGCTCACGTGCCCACAATTCCACCTCCGCCATCATCCTCTTCCACGGAAGGTGCCGAATTAGATGCTTTCCAAAGTAGACGATCCAGCTGGCTACTTAAAGAAATTGCTGAAAGATGGCGACAAGGTTCATCCTCAGGTGCACGTTCATCAGCTATTGCAGCACCTCACAACGGTGATCCTCATTCAAATACAGGAGCACCCTTATGGGATGATGGTTTAAGTGTCCCAGGCAAAAGAAGCAGCAGCTTGAGCAATGCAAGTACAAGCCTACACAATCCATTCCGAAGTAGCAGCTTGATGAGTGGTAGTATCAGTGATCAAAGTACCATTACACCAGAACATCGTCGCACGGATAGCATGATTTCCACTTTGAGGATGCCACCTCTTGTACGAGAACCGGATGCTTGGACTGTAGAAGATAGTATGTCATTAACTAGTGATCCTACAACCACCACTACGACTACTAGTAGTAATCCACAACATCATCCACAACACCCTCCATCATCTTCTTAATGCATTATCGATTAGATAAAAAAACAAATGTATCATATCTATCTTGGGCAGGCACCTATAGTAGTAGTAGTAATAAAAAACAAGAGGTCGGAATGTCGTATCCATGTTGACACGTGGGTAGACATCCGCCCCAGGTTTAGACTTGTAGCACGAGACATGCGATGCCCGCGTGGCGAAGTGAAGCATTCCATTGAGAAGCAGTGGGTTTTTTATTTCTACCAAAAGATGAGCCATTGTGTACAATGTCAAATATGAAGATGATGTATGAACCATGTGGATTTGAAACCAATACGGAGAATGAGACATTGAAGCATGATCATGGAGGAGGAGGAGGAGGATGAACGCCATGTTGTTGTTTACATAACAACAGCAGCAAGGATGTATCATTTTAATGAAGCTCTTTCAAGGTGTGTGTATGTGTTTTTCTCTATTTGCAAGTCCGTTATGATCAACAAAGGATGTTGAGTGTAATTGAATGCGTGGTGTTGTTGTATCCACACTTTTTTTTCCTCTCCCGTCCTCGCTTAGTATTTTGTGTTCCTCTTTTCCTCCCCTTCCTTTCTCCAACTCCTTCTTTTTCACACTCTCTCTTTTCTCTTTTTTCCCTCTCTCTCTCTCTCTCTCTCTCTTTCTGTTTCTTTTCTTTTGACGCTGAGCTGTCATCATGTCCATTGAAAGCGTTACGCGGATAGGCAACAAATACAAACTAGGCAAAAAGATTGGTGCAGGTTCATTTGGCGAGATTTACTTGGGTACATTGACCACCTCTCCACCCCCTTGTTCAATGGACGAAAAGCTGACTTTATGATATACAATAGGATCCAACCTGTCTACGAATGAAGATGTCGCCATCAAGATGGAAAGCATGCGCGCGCCTCATCCGCAGCTCGAATATGAAGCGAGAGTGTATAAAACGTTAGCTGGTGGCGTGGGTATCCCATTTGCTCGGTGGTATGGCAAAGAAGGCGACTACAATGTATTGGTGATGGATCTGCTGGGACCCTCTATCGAAGACCTTTTCAACTTTTGCAAACGACGATTTTCACTCAAAACAGTGTTATTGTTGGCAGATCAATTGGTAAGAGAATGGGGTGGGGGGGGATTTGATTGGGATGAGGATATTGACCTAAGCCTGTGTACATTATAGTTGTCACGTATCGAATACGTTCACAGCAAAGGATTCATTCATCGTGATATCAAACCAGACAATTTTCTGATGGGTGTGGGCAAACGAGGCAATCAAGTCAACATGATCGATTTCGGCTTGGCTAAGCGATTCCGTGATCCACGCACCAATGCACATATACCCTATCGAGAGAATAAGAATTTGACGGGTACCCCACGCTATGCTAGTGTCAATACCCATCTTGGCATAGGTAAGTGAGAGAGGAAATGAGGAGGAGGGATATCCTAGAGGTGGGTGGATGTGAGATGATATGGCTGACCACATCCTGATAGAACAATCGCGACGTGATGATTTGGAATCTTTGGGATACATTTTAATCTACTTTTGTCGTGGATCGCTTCCTTGGCAAGGTATTCGAGCACGCACCAAGAAGGAAAAGTATGACAAGATCATGGAGAAAAAGATGACCACACCTGCCGATGCCTTGTGTCGAGCTCTTCATCAGGAATTCACCATCTATCTCAACTATGTTCGATCATTGCGATTCGATGATAAGCCGGATTACAGCTATCTACGCAAACTATTCCGTGATTTGTTTGTACGTGAAGGATTTCAATATGATTATGTATTTGATTGGACGGTGCGTAAGATGCAACAAGAAAAGAACAAGGAACAGCAGCAACAACCAGCATCATCGTCTGCTCTTCAAGATTCAAAGAATCATCATCATCACCATCATCGACGCATGACTCCTGCTTTGCCACGTACCAACAACAACACTAGTAATCATCATTTAGCAGCACAACAACAAGCAGCGAATGCACAAGCAGCAGCAGCAGCAGCAGCAGCAGCGGCAGCGGCAGCCGCCCAACAGCAGCAACAACAACAACCATTGTATGCTACGAATGAATACTCTGGATTAGGATATGCCTCTGGTAAGTGCATTGACATGCCCGCCATGCATTTATTTGCTTTGCCTCCATTTCTTCCTTTGCCTTTTCCTCTTCCTCTTCCTCTTCTTCCTCCTCCCCCTTCTTCTTCTTCCTATCATTATCAATGCACAGAGAGTGAACCACCTCATCTTAGGAGCTCGTGGCTTACGAATCCCACAACCCACAACAACAGCAACAACGACCAACAACCATCATCAGCAGCAGGCCGTAGCCACCGCCAACGCACCAGCAGGTACCATCCCTACTACCAATCACCCAGATGATTATCCATTGGCTTATGATCAACAACAATACATGCATCATCATCAACAACGTGCTGCTGCTCCTCCTTATTATGCGAATACCATGCGACCATCCCCAGCTGCAGCCGCCGCTGCAGCCGCTGCTGCACAACAATCAGCCGCGCCACCTTATCCCATGATGAATCCTTCAAGACTCTACGACGATTAATTTCATCGCATTCCTCAACCCACACACATATATACACACGCACGCACAACCTTCATCTCATCCCATTCAACACAACAACACATATCACCCACACTTTTTGGAATCAACTTTAGGTTTTCTTTCTTCCTAATTTGCGTATAATTCATCTACCCATGTGCTTTCTCTCTCTCTCTCTCTCTCTCTCTCTCTCTGTGTTAAACAAAAGAAGACCCAATATATATGTTCAACAAACGGTGTATGTTCAAATGTAAAAAAGAAAAAGTAGAGGGGGATAACATGTGTGTGTGTGTACGAGTTAAAAAGAAGGGGTGATGGGATGGTAATAAAGAGGACAAAGGAAAATGCAAATAGGTGTTTTTTTTATGCGTCGACAAACATGCGTGGGGCAATGTTCATAGCCATGAGTTCCTGGAAAAGAAGTTTGCATGCATAGGGAATGTGGATAGCGGACACACGTGTCTTGTTCTTGCAAGCTTGACATTCGAAATGATTACGCTTGAGGTTGGCAATAGCCATCAAACCACAAATATCACACACATGGACACGGTATGCATCCGATGCATCGTATAATCGTTCCTAAACACATACATGAATCATCCCATTCCAACTAATCCATATACACAACCTACCTTTAAGAATTGAGCCACACCATGACTAATCATACAATCACGCTCCATTTCACCGAAACGCAAACCACCATCACGTGAACGACCTTCCACAGGTTGACGCGTAAGAATCTGAACAGGACCACGTGCACGACTATGGATCTTGTCATCCACCATGTGCTTAAGACGTTGGTAATAAGTGGGACCCATAAACACTTGAGCCATCAACTTGCGACCCGTAAATCCATTGTACATGACTTCGAAACCACGCTGCTGGAATCCTTGCTCTGCCAAAGCTTGAGAAATCGCCTCAACGGTGACCTCAGTGAATGGTGTGGCATCACCTTCATTGCCTGTCAGGGTAGACACCTTGCCCAATAAACATTCAATCAAGTGACCAATGGTCATACGAGAAGGAATAGCGTGTGGATTGATAATCAAATCGGGCGTGATACCCTCTGCGGTGAAGGGGAAGTCTTCTTGACGATACGTCATACCAATGGTACCCTTTTGACCGTGACGCGAAGCAAACTTGTCACCAATTTGAGGAACACGAGTGGATCGTACGCGCACCTTGACAAACTTGAGACCATCCTGGTTGGTCGTCAACATGACTTGATCCACAATACCCGTTTCAGTGGAGCGTAAAGGTGTGGATGTATCACGCTTGGTATGCGATTCAAGACGTTGACCCAATTCCTCCGAATCTTGTGGGATGGGTGCTGTTTTGCCGATAATAATATCATCACCAGAGACACGCGTGCCAGGTGCAATCAAACCATCATCATCCAATTTCTCATACGTGCCATGCTTGAGACGTGTGGTCGATTCACGTGTTGGCTTTTCAAATTCCTCCATAAACATGATACCCGTCTTCTTTTCTGCATCCATGTAGGTACGATAGAACAAGGAACGGAAAAGACCACGATCAATAGCACTCTGATTCATAATCACCGAATCTTCTTGGTTGTAACCAGAGTAACAAAGAATAGCCACAATCGCATTTTGACCAGCAGGGAGCTCACGGAAACGAAGGTACTCCATAGATCGTGTTGTCGTCAATGGCTTTTGAGGATAATACAAGATGTTGGCCAACGTATCCATACGAATCTGGTACGATGTCAAGTAGACGCCCATAGCTTGTTTACCCATAGCAGATTGATACGTGTTACGAGGTGACTAGATAGGAAGAAACACAAATGAATAAAAAATGGTTTTGAAATCAAGAATCTTTCCATCATGCTTACCTGGTTGTGATCAGGGAAAGGAATAATACTGGCACAAATACCCAAGATCATACTAGGATGAATTTCACAATGGGTCCACGTATGAGAATAGCCACCACGTTGACTCTTCACACGAGCTGCAAGATCACGTTCAGGTTGCAAAGGTGCACCAAATTCCATTGTTTCACGTGACTCTGCCAAATCTTCGGGTGTCATACAAATCATGGCCGTTTCCTCTTCAGCAGCATCGAGGTATTCAATGATACCATCTTGAATAAGATTCTGCCATCCATAACCATCTTCAGGATTTTGCAATCTATCCACATGTTGCTTGTTCAAAACAAGGCGCTGAGTCTCATCCACCAAGAACAAGGGACGACAACAACGGCCTGCATCGGTATAGATCCTCAATTCCTTCTCACGAATATCACGCACAATTGAGACTTCAGGTGAAATATCCACCGAACGACGCATTTGACGCAACGAGTAGATAAGCTCTCCAGGATCACGATGCACACCCACCCAAACACCATTGACAAAGATCTTGGTGGCGGATGGGATACTGGTAGGTGCCAACTCCATCAAGTTCTCCATACCCCATTCTTCCAAAAACTCCAACAAAGGATTGGCTGCTGAACCGACAGAGATGTAAGACATGAGAGCAAGGTTCTTGACAAGACCACATGCTTGACCTTCGGGAGTTTCAGCAGGACATACGAGACCCCAGTGCGTATTATGCAATTGACGCGGCTTGGCAAGCTTGCCATCACGACCAATGGGTGTATTACAACGACGCAAATGGGACAAGGTGGAAGCGAATGTGTATCGGTTGAGCACTTGGGACACACCCGCACGACTTTGCATGGCCTTTTTCTGATCACCCCAGTTACCCGTAGCCAAAGAGTATTTGAGACCATTGGTGATGGTATTGCTCTTGACAGCCAGTGTCAAGTTGAATTCACGTCCTGATTCGATACACTTTTGCAAGTACTTTGAGACATCCTTGGTCAATTTTCGGAAGAGCAATCGGAAAAGACCCGCCATCAAGGGACCTGCCAAATCCATACGCTTCTTGCCATAGTGATCACGATCATCCAATTCTCTTCGTTCCAAAGCTGCCAATAACAAACGATGGATCATGTAACCAAAAAAGTAGGCCTTGCGCGTCTCATTGCGATACTCTGTGCCGACGTGAGGAAGCAACTCTTTTTGTAAAATCTCGGTCGCATACTTGATACGCTTCTCACGTGTAGCACCCACCGTCGAACCACGCTTGCCAATGTAATCCAATGCAATATCCTGGTCCTGAATCACGAATGCTTCCTCAATCGATGGCTTCAACATCTCCAACATCTCATAGTCGTTCTGGTCATAGCAAATATGGGACAAGACGTCGCGATCGGAGACTTGGCCCAAGGCACGGAACACCACCACAATAGGAATATCAGAACGAATATAGGGTAAGGTAGCACGAATGGATTGACCACTGGATCCACGTTCAGCTGTCGATCGTAACATTTTGATATAAAGAGGAGAAGCCTGCTTGGAACCACGTTCAGGTGCAGAGCGGATTTCAGCTGTGTATTGGACATTGGAGGGAGGCGCTTTGGCAAAGACATAGACGGTATTGGTGGCCATACGCTCTTGAGCAATCAACACCTTTTCGGATCCATTGATAACAAAGTAGCCACCCATATCAAACGAACATTCACCCAATTCGTGCACTTGTGTCTCCGGCATGTCGTGTAAGATACAATAAGACGATCGTAACATGATGGGGACTTTGCCGATAAACACCTTGTTCTTGACGGGTGCTGCTTCTCCTCCACTCTCATCCACAAATTGCTCATTGATGTTCTTGATCGGATTGTCAGGGTCCTGTGGTACAGCTACCTGTGTCCGTTTGCTCATATCCACATACAATGGTGATGCATATCTAATATTGATATGAATATTGTTTACCTATTTACCATCTCCCTCTCTCTTTAAAGAACTTACGTTAAATTGCGAATACGAGCTTCGTGTGGAAACATGGGTGCTGTGCTACCATCGGCTTCAGTCATTGTAGGTTTTGACAGGTAGATTTGGCCGAAATCAATAATGTAACGTTTCTAATAAAAGGTGTTCGTCAACTCATTTGCTCTTTTATCATCGTAGTTCGCTCGCGTCTTACAGTGACATCGCCATCACCACCAACATGCTGTAACACTAGTGTAGGATTCTCGTCCACAAGCTCTTGCATGGTATTTTGAACGAATTCATCAAACGAGTCGAGCTGCTGACGCACCAGACCCTTTTCTTCGAAAAACGAGCTGATCACGGTCCAACAATCTTCTTGACTATAGAGCAAGATCGTTAGGTCCTCTCTCGCCAATGCGCGCGTTGTTTTGCTTACGTGATATCCTCATCCTGCATGGCCATTCCCTCCATCATTTCTTCACCCGGTGCATAGTAGTCTGATATGAATAAAGACAGTTGAGTGGACAACGATGCTCTCTCTTTCTCTTTGGATCTGTTAAGAGAAAAACTAACCAGACTGCGCCATGGGATAGTTGTCATCGTAAATGGCAGCCATAGTGTTACTGTTGTATGGGGATTGGTGTGTTGTGCTGATGCTGTTTATTCAAAATGAGAAAAAAGTGGACGAATCGAGATATAGACAATATATACACACACAAGTGAAAAGGGCCGAAGAAAGCAAAGGAGTGAACGTAACTTGAGCCGGCTGGGTTCTTGTAATGCTCCTCCTCCTCCCCTCCCGCCCACCTCTCCCAGCCCACCAACCCATCTCTGTGACTTACAAACTTGGCCAATCTACTGACAGCTGCTGCCTTGGAGTTGACAAATTGACCACATCCCTTTGTCTCTGATATGAGACATCACGTGCACCCCTCTTATGTGGTTACTATGATACATGCTTATTACCTAATACATGTTGTTGCCTTCATGTACTAGTAGCATGGTTATCTCCCTTGAATAAACGAACGTTTTCATGTCTTCTCGCTATCCGCAGTGGGAGCGCTTTTATTATCAATGGGTCGTGTATCACACAATGTTGGTTTCAGGCCATAGATGTGCTGTATTACGCTTGACACATGATAGTTCGTCGACCTCAATTATTCCTTTCACGTAGACACCATCGCCGTGCATGCACCAAGCATCCCGGCTTTTTTTTAGTTTTATTCTATTGCATGTTGACCAACCATCGCAATAGCCAATCATGGATGTATGTGTATCACACACCCTCATGCAGATGAGCTTCTCCTATCACGCATCGTGCACGTTGGAAGTTTAAAAAACTTCTCAATGCAAGGCGCAACATCAACAGCAGCAAAGGCCATTTTCATTGTCTTCCCGTAGTCTAAATAAGCTCATTGTAAGTTTTTGCTTACCAGGAATGCGGCATAGAAAGAATCGGCTGAATCATCGTCGTATCAAGCAATTGATATATCTATGCCATGATGTACATCATACTATGAGCCAATGGTTACAATAATGATACGAAATACCTTGAAAAGCGGCCCCGCCACCTGCTTGCATATGATCTGTAAAGTTCCGAAGAAGAACCCTGTGGCTGCAAATCGGCTATATATGGACAATCGGGTGAGAACGTCTTGATGCGTACATACGGGCTTGGTGGTGTTTGTGTCGAGAATCATGCACCTTGCAAACAAAACATTGCAATGGAGACCCCAGCAACAACAACACCATTTTCCTCGGCCTCCTGCAGTAGATGAAACTCAATTCAAGCGCCTTTTCATCATTGCTTTGTATGTCAGATATTGACAATGGGGACGTTACCTCATTACTTGTGAATAAAAGCCAACATGGCGCTATCTGTAACGTGAAACAACAAGTATAGATGTCTATACCTTCAAAGAACTAATGTCTGTGGCCAACCTTGTAGTATAGCATTGTCCCATTTGGGAAATTCTAGTGGATTTTTGGATGTCAAAGATGCAAAGGCGTGCCTTTAATTTCGTGGGAATTATGCATGAGAGCTAAATGGTCACTTGAGGAAGCTGCTGTTGTGATGGGAATCATGCTCATCATAAGGTATGTACCATCCTTCTTATACGTATAGTATACGTGGATGTGTAAAGAATGACAACCAAGCATTAATCTGCGCTGCTGAAAACGCTAGCATTCAGAAAGAGAATGTAGGATTTGATCCTCCATATTGCATTATGCCTTAAAACGACCCCAAATGCTATCCAGCAGTATCAGCAAACAAGCTGCGCAACATGACATGTCCAATTATTATTACGTAGCTTGGATCTCCGAGACTGTAAAATGAAAGGAACAAAAGATCTACAGCTACACAAACGCATACAATGCGATCACAGTAGAAGATGGGATTAGTTTATTATCGCTGGTGATTGTCAAAGTAAGCAATGGATGCGTTCTGGATTCTCTTTACAGCCTGATTCAATGAACACCATGCTGAGCAATATGCACTCGTTTCTTTATGCATCCAAAAAAGCTAACATTGCAGATACATGTGATATGAATAAGATGCTGGATACGCATGTCAATGTTAGTATAAAAGGTGTCTCATCATCGACAAACTATTGCTATCATACACAACTTCTCTTCTCATCAACTCATTTCTCGTTTTCAAAATGTTGCCTCGTTTTGCTCTAATCTCTTTTTTGGCGTTGATCCTCTTGATGGCTAGCACCGGCTATGCTTTTCCAACAAGTGAGAAGCGAGGTGACGGCGATGGTACTGGCGATCAAAGAAAACGTGATGTGCAAGATACATGCCCTAAACCCGATCGAGTTCTTCAAACCCTGTGGGATGATCTTTCCTATGGTCCGGATGACTGGGGCTGCCATAAAGGATCTTGTTGGTCAAGATGTGCTGGTGCAGGCAGAGCTGCTAAGAGCTATCTTAACCTCTATGAATGGTGCTACACAACCAAAGGTTCTTCACAAGATTACAACTACGTCTCGTGTGAGAAAAACGAAGATTGCTGTTCAACATGGAGCTGTGCGGGACCATGTGCAGCTTTTTAACTTTACAACAATCATATCGTTGAAGAAAACGCATCCTCTCTAGTTTTGATGTTGTTTATCGCTTGTATCCCGTCTTCATACATAATAAATAGCAAATGCAAATCGATGCTAATAGCTGCTTAACAACATTGAGCATTGGTTTATAAGAGATGTCCACATTCACGCGAGGATTATTATACGTATATCAATACCTTTTTGCTCCTTATGGCATCCTCTAAGGATAATTGGCTCTTTTCATACAGCAACGTCATCTCTGAGTTAAGACCTCAATAGCACCAATCATTCCTATCATTGCATACACACTTATGTGTCTATGACAATAACCATTTAAGAACCATCAATGGCATCCACCGCACATGCACCAGGGATCCAGGTTTTCTTGGTTTTATGCTATTGCGTGTTGATCAACCACAGCAGCAGTAGCAGCCAATGATACATGATCCTAACTTTTGAGAATGTTTATGGTGTAGGTCAGACTTTTCCTCCTTGAGACTAAACAACTCCCTAATGCATATGGGCTTCTCGTATCAAGTACCATGCATCTTGTATACAAAAAAGGAAATGGGATTCCAAGTACTGGGAGCATCAGCGCCAGCCAGCAACGCCCATATCCTTTGTATCCTGCTGTAAATGGTAAAGGTCATGTACGCATAACCGAAGTGGACGGGGACACATAAAACATCGTTTTTGTGTCAAGTAGTTGAAAAATGAAGGCTATTAGATGCGTTGAGAATCAACGGGCCGTTGTCAACAAGAAGATTATACACATACAAAAGCCATCCTGGCAAGTGACTCAACATCAATCTTTCGCAAACAACTCGTCTTTTGAGGAGTTCAGTTGCAGGAATGTTTACACATTAAACACTGAGGAGGATTCTTTATTTGGATATCAATGTTGATAGCGACAAATCGCCGCATTACGTGTCAAAACACACCATTGGGTGTTGTCCAATCATGGAGATTAACGTGCCCGCGAGTGTGGTGGTTAGGCTTTTCTGTGGGGTTATCCCTCACCATCACACGGTACGTATCTATGGCCAAGATTATAGCAGTAATAAAGTGTCTAATTTGCGAACCTAAGGTACGTCTTTGGCGTAATGATGCAGATGGAGTCCCTTCGGAAATATGCATGCGGAAAATCGCCATTTGAGAAGCTATGCACTGCTGCAACACTCATTAAGACACTTGTAATCATAAGTTATCATCTCGTTTTTGTATACTTGATACAAACACTTGTAGAAAAACTAATTCAAACCTCATAATGTAATCTGAAATCAGGGAGGAAGGAAATGAAAGTGGTTGATGCCAAGATGGTGCTATGCGCCAAAAGTTGCTAGGTACCACAGCATATGATCAACAAATGAAACTGAGGAGTGCCACATGCATAATGATCAGCATTCAGTATGCCTGCTTGCTGCTAAAGGAAAAGAAGCAGATACGTAAAAAGTGAGTCAAAGCACACAGTATGTTCAAATAGACCATCGATGCGATAGTCACTCTTTGCTACTAGTCAAGGTGGTTGTCGAAGTATGGATATTTGAGTTCTCAATCATCCTTGAAAGCTGCATTTCTCTGTTGCACTGTGGCTAAAAGATGCACGCATTTACTTTGCATCTTCTAAAAAGAAACCCATCATTGCATATTTGTGAGCAATGAGATGTAGGATTAAACAGAGGTTAGACTGGCAAGATTCCGTATAAAAAGGGACCTCCATTCATCAACAGCAGGGACATTATCAACCTATACTTCTTTCCAAAACAAGATGTTGCCTCGTGTTGCTTCTTTGATCTCTTGTGCTGCCTTGGTGCTCTTTATGGCCAACACAAGCAATGCCGTCCCTTCAAATCAAGAACTTGCTTTTGGTGATGTCGATGAGGCCTTTGATCCTGAGACAGGCTTTGGTGGTGACTTTGTTCCTGATGGCTTTACTGTGGACGGTATTGACACCGACAGCGTTATCGATGGTGATGGTGATGACTTTCAAGTCTCTGAAGGAGACCTCACAAAACGTGATCGTGGTACATGCCCTCAACCTAGTGCCACTCTTAAAGCTTTTTGGGATGATGTATCCTATGGTCCGAATGACTATGGCTGTCACAAAGGATATTGCTGGTCCAGATGCGCTGGTGGTGCTAGACTTTTTGGATCAGTCGCACGAGATAGCATTTATGAATGGTGTTATACAACCAAAGGACATTCACAAGATAGAGGCTATATCACGTGTTCGAAGAAAGAAGATTGCTGTGACACATGGAGTTGTGCAGGACCGTGTGCTGCCTTTTAGTGCATTGTTTGAAAATAAATCCACTTCCCAAGTGCCCATCATAAGATTGAAAAAAACGCGTATGGATAAAGTTGCAAGTTGTATATGTGTATTGTATTCCTCAAAGTCATCTATGTATGTGAAGATCGATAACTGCTCCAACTTTCTCTTGATAATGTTCCAGTCTCTTTCCATAGTTTGCCTTTGCCTTGCCATCGACCTTTGCCACCATCCCGAATGCCACTATCTGTAAGCTGCGTAATGCTGTATCGCCGTGGCAACATTCTGCACCGACTCCTTCGATCCACCGAGCACCATAATAGGTCCAACCATATTAGCTTCACCTGCAGCCAATGCAGTGGTCTTGGTTCCATGACCTTCCAATACTTGCTTATCCTTCAACGCATTCGCAATGTGGCTCCACTGTATCACGAGACGCTAATTCATAGCCCAAATCCGTTGCCACGTGACCTGCCAAATCACCCTCCATCGCTTGGCAGCTTTCATGTTGGTGCTGTAGACGAGCAACATTCTCCACAAAAGTCTCTGGTGTACCCGATAGCAATGCAGTGAGTTGTTTGGATATCTGAAACATGGACTCGGCATAATCGGTCACTCTTTGGCCCACCAAAAAGAACAATCGGGTATTGCCAGCAAGCACTTTTCGGTTTGACGCGTCTCCGATTCAGTAAAAGAACGAGTAGCACCCATGTACCTATCGAAAAGTGGAGTGTGAGTAATACGTATGTTTGCTACATCTTCCACCAAACTTACCATGATCCTATTTCAACGCCAAAGGGTTCTTGTTCGAGCACAGCAGAAAGAAGATGTTGACCGCTATGTTGTTGCATATGATCCCTTAACAACAAGATGTGATCCCATAAAGTTGATATAGGTCGAACGTAGCACACACGTACGACGACGATCCCAATCCACCTTGGCTGTCACTTGAGGTAACCGGCGCTTTGGTATGATGAACGTGCTCTTTGAATGTACAGGGATATCATCAATAAATACAGCAACAAAAGGTTACCCATCAACTTCAGGATTAAGGACTGATAGAGAGTGCATGTTAATAAAGAGGTAATGAGCAAAGAAAGAAAGAGTGGGAGCGTGCCTGTGTCATGGAGCTTGATTTGGTAGAATCCTTTCTTGTCAGGTTTTTCAGAGCAGTCGATGCAAGTGGTTGTCAATTCCTTGTCGTAAGGGTGACGCTGACAATGTTAAGTCTCCAGCAGGGATTTGGTTGTAAGTAGTAATGGTGTGGCTGTGGGTGACATGAGGCACAAGGACAAGAGAAGAGTGTGGAGAAGACTATGCCCACATTGCTTTGTCTCATGTGAGACATCACGTGCAAGAAAAATGAGAAGTTCTCAAGGATGAAGGTTGTCACTTTTGAAATGGAACTTGCTATGATATATGTTCATTTTATAAAATGATACCACGACTACTCGTCGTTTGCATTGTTGTTGTTGTTGTTGTTGTCTATACGTAGTATCATGATCTCGCTTGAATGAAAGAACGCTTTCATGTCAGCCAGCGTAACATGCTACCTTTTCATCTGGTGGGATCCATGATCCATGGTTGTGGTGTATGCATCATCCAATGTTGGCTTCACCCCATTCTAAAGCCATCGAGTAGGCTTTTATTGGGTCATCATCTATCGTACACGAACCACGAGATCTCACTTTTTCCAAGCTTTGTTCCATTGAATGATGGCCAAACACAGTAGTATCCAATGAAGAATGTCTCCAGGTGACTGTTACAGTGGTACGTTATCCTCTGTTTTGATGTATGTAGATCAACCCCTTTATCCCTGACAACCCGCTGGTGCATATGCGTTTCTCGTATCAAGCTCCATCATGATGCATCTTGCAAACAAACAAAGAGATAAGGGACCCAATACCAGCGGCAGCAGCAGCAGCAGAGTAGTACATACTAACGCCTACTTTCCATACTTCCTGCAGTCAATGAAAACGTTTGCAAGGCGCTTTTTCAAGTACATAAGGAGAGCCGGGTCCCATATAAGCATGGCCGTGTCACCATTGTGTCAAGTAATAGAGAGATGAAGACTACTATGTATGTCAAAAAAATGGGTCATCGTCAGCAAGCAAAAGACACACACACGCATACACACACACACACACACGCACAAAAACATCATAACAGATTTTCTTTGTATATGACTCGTCATTTTGAGACGTTGAATTCTTGCAGTAATGTTTTGCTAGATATACCAAAACAAAAAAAGTGGTCATTATTTAGATATCAACATCGACGTCAACGACAGATCACTACATTGCATGTCAAAATACGCCATTAGTGGGTGTTGCCGAAATTTCGATAAACATCTCTATGAGCGTGATGGTAATCATACATGTAAATCAAGCTTTTTGCCTCCCGTTACATAAATCGTATTGGTGTCTATGGTGATCAAGGCTTTCGCAGTAGTGATACATGGCGTATAGACCATTTGAGAGCTTGTGGTGATACCTTTGGCGTAAAGATGCAGGTGGTGTCCCTTGCATTACTTGGGAAACATGCATGTGATGGATCGCAACTCGCAAATGCTACAGCGGCAACGCTCGTAAAAAGGACTATCTCTCATCACACGCATCATTTCTTTCTACGTTTGACTAAGTTTGTAGAAAAATGGGAAGCAAACCTTATATTGCACAGCCGAAATCACCACATACCAGCATCTGGAGAGGATGGGTGTGATTTAGCCGACATGATGCTATGCGTCAAAGCCACGCTAGATGCTGTGCAATATCAACAAACGAAAAAGCAAAGCATTGCATGCTCAATAATCAACATTGGATACGTCTGTTTGGTGGTGGTATAAAGAAAAAGGAATCGGATACGTAGACAATGATTAAAAACACGCAATACGTTCGACTAGAATAAGTAGGGGACCAGTCGTCTTGGTGTGGTTGTCATAGTAAGTCCTCAATCATCTTTAAAAGCTGATTTTAGTCGCAACGTATTGATAAAAGATGTACGTATTTATTTTGCATCTTCCAAGAAGGAAACATCATCATTGCATATTTGTGAATACCGAGACGTAGGATAAAGCAGAGATGAGACCGTCAAGGTTTTTTATAAAAAGGCCACAGAATTCGCCCACAACAGAGTCATTCCTATCTTATCATCAACTAGTACCTAATATCTTCTCTTTTCAAAATGTTGCCTCGTGTTGCTTTCATCTCTTGTGCGGCATTGGTCCTGTTCACAGCTAATACCATCCATGCTGCCCCTTTAGATCCAAAGCGTGCTGCCGGTGTTGCTGACACTCAACTCTCTGAGGGTTTTACAAAACGTGACGGAGATGATCTCATTCATGGTGGTGCTGGCATTGGACTCCCTGGAGGCGACCTCACAAAACGTGATGGAGATGATCTCATTCATGGTGGTGCTGGCATTGGACTCCCTGGAGGCGACTTCACAAAACGTGATGGAGATGATCTCATTCATGGTGGTGCTGGCATTGGACTCCCTGGGAGGCGACCTCACAAAACGTGATGGAGATGATCTCATTCATGGTGGTGCTGGCATTGGACTCCCTGGAGGCGACCTCACAAAACGTGATGGAGATGATCTCATTCATGGTGGTGCTGGCATTGGACTCCCTGGAGGCGACCTCACAAAACGTGATGGAGATGATCTCATTCATGGTGGTGCTGGCATTGGACTCCCTGGAGGCGACTTCGCAAAACGTGACGGGGATGATCTCATTCATGGTGGTGCTGGCATTGAACTCCCTGAAGGCGATGATGGCATTCATGCTGGCGCCGGCGTTAGTAATGATGATGTATAGATGACAGCATGAAGAAAAGACGATGAGATCGAGATGTCTTTTCAACTGCTGTTAATAGCTGCAATTACTACATGTCTGAATATACTATTTAATTGTCTTTGTGCCATAATTCAGTATGAAGATGGGTTTGCATATGAGGGTGTTAAGGATACAGTCACTCAAAGTAATGCATAAGACTATGTCACTCTTCAAAACCTTTAGTATGATGCATCGTATGATGCGAATGACGAACATATTGCTAGCTAGATGTGCAGGCGTTGCTAGGCTATTTCTCTATCGGTGGTGTTATACATCCAAAAGCTGACTACAGAGTAGGGAGAGTGCCCTCAAACATGGACCATAATATGCAGCTCTTCAATATAAATCCCATGCCAAATACCCCATCATAAGATTGAAAAATTCGTATATGTACAAAGTGTCCAAGTTGTGTATGTATATTGTATTCCTCAAAATCATCTATGTCGAGATTGATAACTGATCCAGCTTCTCTTGTAATGATTCGATTCCTTTCCATGCTTTGGCTTTGCCTTGCCATCGTCCTTTACCACCACCTCGAATCCCACTATCAGCAAGCTGTGTAGTAACCGCCTTGGCAACGCTTTGCACTGAATCATTCGAGCCACCAAGCACCATAATAGGTCCACCCACGTTCGCTTCACCTGCAGCCAATACGATAGTCTTGGTTTCACGACCTTCCAATACTTGCTTATCCTTCAACGTATTCGCAATCTGGGTAAGGAACTCCATATCGGCATCAGCACGGTACATGACCACTGTATCACGAGATTCCAATTGATGACTCAAATCCGTTGCCACGTGACCTGCCAAATCACCCATCCACCGCTTGGCAGCTTTCATGTTGGTGCGGTTGTTTTGCTGTAGACGAGTAACATTCTCCACAAAGGTCTCTGGTGGTCCCGATAGCAATGCCGTGAGTTGCTTGGAGACCTGGAACATGGACTCGGCGTAATCGGTCACTCTTTGGCCCACCAAAAAGAACAATCGTGTATTGCCACCACGCACTTTTTCGGTGTGCAGTAACTTGATCATTTGTAAATGCCCGGTTGATAAAACGTGTGTACCACAGCATGGGTTCATGTCAACTCCCTTGATCTCCACAGTACGAATGGTGCCACCTCCCACATAATCATCAGGTACACTCTCAGGTCGATCCGTATCATCCTTGTTGGCTTGAGTATGCACGATCACAGGAATGGATTCAACAATCATCTTATTGACACGACGTTCCACCTCTTGCAATTGTTCAGGCGTGGGTACACGTGAAGGATCTTGACGTGTCTCCAATTCGATAAAAGAGCGAGTAGCACCCATGTACCTATCCAAAAGTGGGTGTGTGAGTAATACGTATGCTCACTACATCTTCCAGCAAACTCACCATGATCCTGTTTCAACGCGGAAGGGCTCTTGTTCAAGCACAGCAGAGAGAAGATGTTGACCGCTATGTTGTTGCATATGATCCCTTCACAAAAAAGTGAGCCCATAAAGTCGATATAGGTTGAATACATGCAGCATACACGTACCATCGACGATCCCAATCCACCTTGAGTGTCACTTGCTTCCCCACAGCAACTGGTGCCTTGGTATAATGAACATGCTCGATACCTTGTCGTTGAACATTATGTACAGGGATATCATCAATGAATCCAGTATCGAAAGGTTGTCCACCACCTTCGGGAAAGAGGACTGATAGAAGACTGCATGTTAATAAAGACGTAATGAGCGAAAGAGAAAGAGAGCGTACCTGTGTCATGGAGCCTGATTTGGTAGAATCCTTTCTTATCAGGTTTCTCGGAGCAGTCGATGCAAGTGGTTGTCAATTCCTTGTCGTAAGGGTGACGCTGACAATGCAAGTCTCCAACAGGGATCTGGTTGCAAGTAGTGGTGGTGGCTGTGGGTGACATGAGGTACAAGGAAAAGAGAAGGTTGTGGAGAAGAGTATACCCAGCACCTTAAATCCCGACAAGTGTCAGGGCGTTGATGACTCACGTTACACGGGTTAAAGCCATACACGGATAATACCACATCCAACTTGGAGGGAATCATCTACACAAACAGACAACTTGAGCCATGGATATTTTAGAATGCTCTTGATGCCAATTTACATATGCATCCCATGTTGATTCCATGAGAACCCTCGTATATGAGATATAGCGTTGCATGAATATCTAATGATGAGGAACAAGCTGTCATTTGTACGTCTATCTCTTTGTAAAAAGCCAATGTTGGTGTGCATAGGCGCTGTTTGGAAAGGTCCACAATTCTTTACTATAACGGCACCTCGCCCTAAATCTGGTAGCCTTGCCATGTGTGCCCAGCAACGAAAAAAGGGATCATCTATTTTAAGAGACTACACGTCCTCATTGTTGTCACTGATTGGGATACGCTCAATAAGCGCAATGAACAGGACAAAGAAGCTCGATTGGCTAGGTCGCTTTAATGCAACAAAGACGCTCTCTTTGTCTCTTTATTGATCATTGGATTTCTATTTACAAGGACAGCAAAGGATGTTAGGAGGTGACTTGAAACAAGACAACATAGATGTAATCAACATTGATATATAATCGAATAGTAAGGCTCTTAAGTGCTCTATTCTCAATGGCCGTAACTGGGTATCAATGGGATCAAGAGGTTCGGATGGCGCAACAAGGAGAACAAGAATCGGCGGGGTTTCGAAAATTGCGTGCCAACAGCCTGGACATGATTTCAAGGTGAACGCAACGCTGCTTTTTAAAGAGCTTCCAAGCTGCTGCATGCCAAGCAACTCTGAACGACAAATTTGCGCGAGGCAAGTACACCGAATCTCTAATCTGGTACTCTAAGCTAATTACCAACCTTTGCTAGTACTTTATGTTGTCCGATGGAGCTGCTGTCATGGGTGCAAGGGCTTGTTCTGAAAGTGTCGTCCTTGCAGAGTGAGTCCAAGTGAGGTGGATGTATGCTTTGGGTCGAGACCTTAGGTGTGAACTCAAGAGCCTCTCTCCATCCTTGCGTTGGATGTGCACTTGAAATGATGGGCAGCGTACAGGCTATCAAGCTAAGTATTATGAGCATGTTGTATATCTGAACTTGCCTACCTTTGTGTTAGTCTTTGGCGTTGCATGGATACGAACCGTTGGCATGGGTGCAAGGGCTTGTTTTGTAAGTGTCGTCTTTGCAGAGCAACCCGAGTGAGGTGGATGTATGCTTTGGGTCGGGACCTCAGGTATGAACTCGAGAGCCTCTCTCCATCCTTGCGATGACGCACATGAAACAACGACTAGATGCGAATGTTACGCGTAAGTACTTTGATTATGGATGGGGGTCATTTGATTTTGACACTAATCCCAGCTCGTAGAATGATCTATCTTGCACCAGAAAGATCCTTAAATGGAATGGATTTAGACGCTATCTATATACTACAAGTTGACCCGGATGATGTCGTATGCAAATAAACGATCCAAATGCAACAAAGATGCCATTACTTTGTCAATCTGAATCTCTCCCTATGTTCTGTAATAAACCTGGATACGAATGCCCGTAAACATTCAATGGAATAAGGATGATAAGCAAGCGTTTTTTAAGTCCATGTGTAAATGCTCAAATCAAAGGATGATACATGGCAAGTCAAGTGGCTATTGGTATTCGCTTTTGATGGGTATAATGCATATTTTTACAAGCATAGGGGTATGATGGTTGATTACATAGAATTAGACGCCTTGCGTTTTCTTGGTACAGGAACAGGAGTAAAGGATGGTGATAATCTCGTCGTCGATTTCTTGCCAAAGCTGGTTGTCCTCCTTGATTGGTCGCTAATGATGTCCATACGTACTTGCTCCATCGTCTTCTTGGCATGGTATACGCTTGCAAAAATAGGGATGATCAATGATATGAATTCTTCAACCGACATCGGGTATTGTTGCCATCCGAGCGGTAAGATGCGGCAGATGTAACCTCTTGGACAATCCATTGACAGCAAGTTCAGGTTGAGTCCTAGTAGAAAAGAGCCATTTAGAGATTAACACAGAACCCTATTTAGTCTCATCACCGCCCTTTGTTACATACGTACCGGCAATGGCCATCCCTTGTATTTTGAGTTGATTGAGCTTGTTGGGACAACGTTTTTCAAGCTTGATAAGCATATCCTTCATAGTCTTTGGACATTTCAACGATACTTCACGTGCGTTCTTCATGCTGAGGGTATCACTGCTTCGACCAAACTCGGCGACACCAAATTCCAAAAGATTCGCCTTAAAGAGAAGATCTATCCTTGTGCCCATTTGCTTTCTTGTGCGCTCTGCGTCTGATTTCGCTCCATTCTTTCGCTCAGTCGATGCTTGGCTTGTGATTTCCCCGCTAAAGCGTCATGTTAGATCATACGAAAATCCAATCACCCGTTCACTCACTTACCCTGATACTTTGATAGGACTTGGATCGAAGCATCTCTCAATGAACGCCCACACGTTCCTCACGAGATCATTTTCTGATAGGCTGGAAAGGTCTTGGAAGAAATTGTATTCATAGAGGTCCAATGCTGAGGTGATTGATTTTTGCATCCAATATAAATCTGCTTCCTTTCGGCGATCAAACTTGAAATCATCATTTTGGCGCCGAAGTTCATGGAGCGTTTGCTATTAAATAATCTGTTAGAAGATCGATCCAAAGTTACAATGGCCTTTTTACACCTTGCCAACGAATGAATCGAGGAATGATTGCATGTCTTCAGGCATCTGTATTAGGGCTGGTGTATCGGTTTCTTGAATCTCTTCCAACTCCTCCGCAGTGAACCAACCAGCAAGACCTTGGTCAGTGGGGTCAATGATCATCGAATGCCAAGGACTAAAAAGAGCAATAATGAATGGGTAGGTCGTAATGAAGGATCATGAACATACCTTTCTAATGTGGTTGCTTTGGCTCTCTCGTATAAAACATCTTCCACACGACGACCACTCTTCAACATCCACATTTGGTCTTGATCAAGGCTGTTGTACATCATTGCAAGAGCTTCAAGGTCGTTTGATGTCATTCTATAACCGGATGCTGATGATGCAATGGATTGGCTTTTGCTGCTGCTACTGCTGCCGCTGCCGCTTTCGGTATTGCTCAAAGTCTCAGTGTGCTCCGAGAGGATGGGTGGATCGCATTTGTATTCGAGGATCTCGAGAGCAAGTCGGCCCCAGTCAACATTTGACTTTTCCTGAAAACCACTTGCTTAGTCAAAATAACAAGGATCTACTTCAATGATACATACCAGCGTAACGTTCAACTCTTGCGTGATGGTTTTAAGTCGCTTTGGTAATACGGCTTGAATCCTTTCTCCCTTCTGGACGTGCTTCAAGATAAAGTCTTTTTCTTCAAGGATAAATGACTGGACGCTGGCTGGTTTGTCAAGTGCAATGCAATTGGCGACGTACGAATGCAACACTGTTGTATAGAGCGGTGAGACATGAGACTATAGACACTGTCAATGAGCTTACCTTCTCGCCATTTGACGTCTGCCATAGTTATGGTACAAGCGCAACCAACGCGACTCCTTGACACCGCATGTACTTATGCCACCTACAAAGGAGTCTGAATTTTCCCGTCAGTCTAGGCATCCTTAATATACAAGTGATAGTTATACCTACCCCAAAGGGTACACCAAGAAACACAGCATAAAGCAATGATGTGAACTATACAATAGATGAATGCATGAGTACCCTCATTTTGGGGATCACATAACAAAGACTACCCTCGAGACTTACCAGGGCCATTGATGCTTCAAGTAGAAAGAAAGGATGTATGATAGTGTTGGTGCAAAGAGCCTTGTTTTTATATGTGAGTGGGCATGAGAATTGTTGTCATGATTTATCAAACTGATATAGTGTTTCAACATCTTGGAGTATCGAGTCGAAGTGATCCACCTGCCACATGAAATGTGTTTTTTGTAGGTGACATATGAAGAAAGTGAAACTCAGATCCAACAGGCGCACCGCCATGCCATTATTGATACATACAATAGCGTAGGATAGCCCCCTCCATGTTCATGATTCAATACTTTTGCTACTCTATTTAGCTACCCGTATGATGGTAGTCTCTTTCATCTTTGCTAAATAAACGCTTATGATATGATTGTATACACCCATTGATGACGCAGCAATATTAATAAGCCATATGAACATCAACTTTTATCACCCTCCATTCTTAAGACAGTAGCCAGCGACAGCATCGCCATAGTTTATGCACCATGTATTACATTGGTCGTTATCAACACACTTGAAGGCGATAGCAGCATTGAAGAGAAGGGCAAAGAGCAAAAAGGTGGCCGAGGGCCGTCTTGTTCAACATGTTTTTGGTATTGCAAAAGATGGTTGGCTATCGACCGTTGTCTTGACGACGGCGTGCTTTTATAATAGTCATCGCTGCTGCTGGATGGTCCATACTACTGACAACGACACATGCATGGGGCAAGCAACACAAAGCGCCGCAAATCTCATCCCACTCTTTGGATGCTTTATTTCTGGAACTTCATCATCCAGACAACGTTTGAATGTAAAGCCACGGAGGCTTAGTCATTATACGCTATTCATGCCACAATACATCTTCCGGTGTTGATGAAGTAGCACGCCTCTCTGCCTCTCTCTGTGGCGAACGGTAGAGAACATTAATGCAAATCATGAGTATGCAGCCTTTCCCGATATAGAGAATTTACCCATAACAACGTTACATCAAACCCGCCTCAGCCCCCTCATTGTTGAACATGTCAACGCGTGACACCAGGATACAAAGCGTAACCATTACCATGACATTGAGTTTGGATAGGTTGCATTATCAATTATACCATGAATTGGGTCGTTGAGGAGACTAATGCTGCTAATGCGTAAATGGCAAGATCAGGTGGCGGATAAATTATCGGCTCAACCCCACCTGTTACATCATGCATAACATGATGCCATCTCTCGGAATTCGGTTTATAAAGTGGAATGTAGCCATATATAGCTCTAAATGATGGTTGCCATGACAGCGTACAAATAAAGATACATCAAGACTGGTATCAAGTTACTCAGTTTTGGCAGAGTGTAGCATCATGACCACATGCGATATATAATACACGAGAGGATGGTGAATAACCTTATGAGTATGGACAACGACAACCAAGTCCTTCCACTCTCAGTATTATTACTGTGATTTCCCATGCACAGCATGAAAATGAGGTTGTGTAAAGGACGTACGTTGTCGACGGGCGGAGTATCGCTGCTGGATTCTCAAAGCAATCATGCATGTTTTTCACCTTTGACACCACCATCCCACTCCTCCTATCATGAACACTGAAAGCAATCCAAGTCTTTGTAAAAGGTCAAGGTTAGAAATAGCCATACGTTGTTAAAACTACCACTCTCGGAACGACTTGAATAGCATTGGATTGTGTATTCGGTAATAAAGAAAGAGATATACTAAAGAGTAAAGAGTGGAAGCCTTCGTTTCTAAACACTTCGTTTCATCCGGGGGGAGAAGAAGCATAGTATAGGATCAGCTTGATAGAAACGCCATCTCACATCTTCTGAATTACATGCACGTCATACATCACCTACTTAATCGCTCGCATCTTTAAAAACCTTCATTCGGGGTATCAGTAGATATATATGTAGCATCATTCATCTATTGGATAAGCGTGTTGTATACTCAAGGTGAGGATGATTTAAGTATAAATGGTGTCATTGTTATCATGATTAGAAGCATTACTACTATATCAAAGAGGGTTGCTAGCTACTTGGTATTGGTATTTTGCAGCAGCTAAGGAATGTAGATACTGGTCCATTTTTTCCGGTACGATAAGTCTTGTGATTCAGGGACCGAAAGAGCCATTTAGAATGTGCGCCCAACCATATGCGATACGCCGTTGCCATTTGCAGTCCTTCATAATGAACAGACCCTCCGTAAACACAAGCCATGCTGCTGCTTCTTGCATTCAACAAGCCAAATCCTTCATTAATCAATCATGGTGTCCCAATAGCATCACCCTTTCAGATAACCAATCCAGTAGTTGCTTGATGACTGACAAGAGATGTCTCCACACAAGGTTGACATGCGGCACACATAAGAAATATCCACTTGAAGGTATCCAATACGCCATCCATATACTCCTCTGACTGCCTGAAGATGCGAGGTGGATGATTGAAACTTGATCTTGTAGCTGAATAAAAGCGACTGTGCATCCCAAGATATCAACGTCCAATTCATTATCACAATGCTGCTCTAAAGAAGATGCGGTTACTTTCAGCTGCTTAGTTTTAACCAGCTTTCCACTTACCGAATGAACGAGGTCGTTGTGAGAATACGTGTTGGATATCATCCTCTGCAATCATTGTCGCTGCTAGAACATTATCGAACCACCAACATCCCTCAATGCTGCTTGTATCCATGTCTTGATCTTCCACCCATGCCCAGCATGATCAAATTCCTGCTATCAACCGATACTTGGATATCGTTGCCCATTTGGATGCTGCCACCCGATTGCTGAAGATGGATCACATTCAAGCAGAGAGCATAAACAACCACTGCACGCCTTGTATTCCTTGGTTTCAGTATTTCCTGAAAGGTGTGATATTGTAACAAGTGCTTGAGTTTCAACGTCGAATCGATATCCAGGATCCATCATCGGTCGTATAATACGCATTCTGGTCGTCGTTATCAGCAACATGAGCAAGTCGTTCCTCCTCGCCATTCAAAAGTCTTCCAACACCAGCACCACCATTCCTGTTGCTGCTCCTGTCAAAAGCCATTTGCAACTTGACACAATTTATCAGTTCTCATTTCCTTGTTCAAATGGGTGATGGAGTTACCTTGAAGACGGCCATTAGCAAAGGTCATGCAATGCAGCAGGCAAGTGCCGTTTGAAGGAGGAGACAAGAGAGACCCTGAGGTGAAATTAAATCGCGATACCAATATCCGCAGGAGTCATGCAACATCACAAACCCAGTTGCCCACTCCATTTGAACCATTTACACTTTAATGATAATGATCTCATTGATAAATAAACACCCATTGATCACGCAACAATATGAAGCCATGTGTATGAACATCAACTTTTACATGTCAGCCAAGGAAATGATACACTTCTTTAATGAGCAACAATTATTCAAAATGATGACCAAGCTGTTGTGTGGGATGGTATGGATGGATGGTTTAACTAATGATCCATTGTAAGAAAATGGAAAAGTCATGTACAGGATGCAATCATATACACTTACCGGCCGCGTACGTCAAGCTTGCACTCTTCGTTCAAAACGCAAATGCATCCTCCACCCTTACGACAGTAACCAGCGAGAGCATCATCATAGTTTACGCACCAAGTATTGCATTGCTTGTCATCAACGCACTTGAAGGCGGTAGCAACATTGAAGAGAAGGGCAAAGAGCAAAGAGGAGGCGAGGACCGTCTTGTTCAACATGTTTGGATTGCAAAAGATGGATGGTTATCGACCGTTGTCTTGACGACATGCTTTTATACCCATGGCTGCTGGATCGTACACATTGACAACATCACACATTCGCGCGAGACAAGCAACAAGCTCCGCGTAATACCACTTTGGATGATTTATTTCTGGAGCTTCATTATTCAGGCAACGTTGAATGCGAAGCCATGGGGCTCAGTCGTTATACTTAAATGCTCTCTTCGTGACATTGACGTTGAAGCAACAGCTCTCCCCGCTCTGTGTGTCGGCATTTATGCGAGACATGCACATGCAGCCTTCCCCGATTTAGAGAATTTACTCTTAACGAGATTACATCAAACCCGCATCAGCCCCCTCGTTGTTGAACAAGACAACCATGGCACCACCATGACATTGAGTTTGAATATGTATGCTGCATCATGGAGATATCAATTATAGTATGAATAGGGTCGTTGAGAAGGCTGATGCTAATGCGTAAATGGTAAGGTCGGTTGGCGGATATATATGGAATCAAACACACGTAACATAGGTGAAATCATGGTGCCACCTCTCGTAATTCAATATATTCCAAAGTAATATGCAGCCATATATAGCCCTGAATGATGGTTGCCATGACAGCGTAAAAATAATGATACACTCGATCATTATCTCGATCCACAGTGGTTACGACCTTGTGGAGATGCAGTACCTCCATCGTATCCTCCTTTATTTTGGTTTCCCATGCATAGTACGAGAATGAATAATCATTACTTTAGGTTTGTATGTAGGGGCGTACGTTGTGGGTGAGTGCAACGCGATACCAGAACAGGGGCGGAGTCTAGTTGCAGGCAAGTCAAAGCGATCAATATGCATAGCACTTTTTATTTTTCACTTTTGACGCCATCCAATTCCTTCAACTATGAACATTGAAAGCAATCCAAGCCATTGTAAAGGGTAAAGGTTAGTGATAGTCGTACATTGTTAATGATGCCGCTCTTGGAACTGACATCTTCTGGAGCTACCCTCCTCTTCAGCTACACCTACTTCACGTTCACGTTACACAGACGCCACAAAAGTTGCGTTCAAGATCCTTGTTTAACGAGCTTCGATTCGTGTTGTCATTTGATGACGGCTATAGACTACGTATAACCTGCAGTAGCTTGATGATGATGGAAAATCTCTTGTTTGAAAAGCATGGTATGAAGGAAGACAGCCATCGTCAATGATGGCTCTTTTATGTCGATTTACCAAAAACGTTTTCTTTTGTATGATGGCAACAGTGTTCTGTTTCGTTTGGATCATATCACGTGGAAGTGTATACTACGATGGATTGCATACCATGAGAAGGCGACAAGATGTTTTATTGTCATAAGAATGGATCAGTGGATTTCGAGACATGTAGTACAAGGGATGTTTGCAGCTGCAGCAGCGAACAACGATTGGCTTCTACCAAGTTTTCTTGGTAGTATTACTTGAATCCATACACTGCTTGACACAGTACCTACCTATCATTCGCAATAGCTGGTGCATCTGGCATACTCTTCATCAGCCGAGTCATAACAAGTAGCTTCGCACTTGCTTAATTTGTTATTTGGGTCGTCTGGGTCAGGGGGGTTTGTTGGATCGCAGCGATCTCTTGCACAGGTATTGTCGCTGCCACAAAACACCATTAGACAATCTTCAAGGTACTTGTTGCTTTTGTCCATCACATCCCTTGACACACATGTTGCTAACGTGTGATGCAGTGTCTCGCTTGTGTACGTTGGGCGTTTGAACGTGGGCAGCAAGGGCAGCAAGGGACCATGATGCAACAAGGCCAGCGACAACAAAGGACGACTTGAATAGCATTGGGTTGTGTATTCGGTGATAAGGAAAGAGATATAGTGATGCATGAAACGTGAAAGCCTTCGCTTTTATACATTTTGTTTCATGTAGGGGGGGGGGAGAAGAATCATAGTATAGGATCAACTTGATCGAAACGCCATCTCACATATAGTTCAGGAGATGACTGCTCTATGTGCACGCCATCATACATCAACTCCTCAAACGCTCGTAATTCTAGAAATTTACCTTCGCGTTATTAGTAGAGCTCTATGATGTAGTATCATGGCACCAGTGGATAAGCGTATATACATGTACGCAATAATAATAAGGGCATAGTAGGAAAAAGGATGCTTCGGAATGGATTGAGTAAAAAGGGCTGATGCTTGGGGACCTGGTAGTAAGGTAATGGCTGTTGTTGGATCATCATTATCATGTAAAGTGTAAAATGGCACACACCCTTTTGCTATACGTGAGGATCATCATTTCTTTTATTTACGTGTACCTGTTGTCTATCGTGAGGGTGATGGTGATGACGGTGTGTGTGGGGTAAATTGAGTGGCCTCAGTGTAACAGCATTGGGGGATCTAAACTTGGTGCACAACTTCAAACAACCCGTCTTCTCTCTTTCTCGCTCCTCTTCTTTTTATCCCATTCACGACATCCCGATCAAGGTAATGTATTATAAAAGAGTGCTCTTGTTGGCTGTGAGGTATTAATATAGTTCAACAGGCATTGTCAGGAAATGAGTGTGTCCAAGTGCTGAAGAATGAGCGTGGGTTGGTGGTTGGTGGTTGCCATGGCGATATCGTTGCTTCCTCTTGTTGGTTGCTATTCCCACTCTACGCTTGGTGTCAGCAGGTACATTCAGAGTCCAATGTTGCATCAGCATCTGTTCCATTGACGTGTTAGCTTGTATAGAGGGCAAGTTTGGTTTCAAGGCGTGGGCTGGTTTGGCGCTTTGCTTCGGCTCAACTACACTACACCACGGTTTTCGGTTTCCAGTAACCAACCACCACGGGTCTTTGTGTATATGGAAAAGGCAAGTACAATGAAACAAACAATGAAGAGAGGCGTTTTATTGTACGTGTGTGCTAATAATGAATTGAATAGGTTTCTTTGGTCAGGCAGTGCAACTTGGGGCCATCATCATCATCTCTTTGGGTCCAAGTCCCACCCTGTGTCAAGCGGCCGGTTGCTGAAAAAGCTTCTTGGAACGCGTCCAGGGCTCTATAGGCCTGCGTTGAGTTGAGGATGGGTCGATGACGATGGGTTTTTGGAAGAGCATGGTCACCGTGTTGAGGTAAGGGGATTTGCGACAGCTCGGCTGTGAATGTGCTGCACCAACACGCTCTTCTCTTGATAGGCTCGTTCTTCCCCTTGAGGATACCTTTTCATGAGGTGGGAAATGATTGGAAAGATTTGGGACCATTCTTTCTTTGGAGAGGATGAATGAGAACAACTATGAGCCTGGACTCTACGTAAGTGACGTCCTTCCTTGCCATGGATCGAACTGGCCTTGCGTGATTCGTGCAGTGCTTTCTCAAGAACAAGGGATCGCCCGACGTTGCTCGTATGGTGGTGATTTGGTTTGTGAATTCCTTCTGATTTGCTTTCTTCCTTAGAGAGGATCGCCTAACGGTATACCAAATCGTCATCATTCCCGGTATCAGATGGTCTAACTTGCCTGCTTTCTTATTTGTAGAGACGATGATTACGATGATTACCACATTCACCACAATGACGATTACGATGATCACCCCATCTACAACAATGACAATGATGACGACAACGAGATTCAAAAGGAAGCCTGCAAGATCCCATTCTTTTCAACTTGTGTATTTTTGGATGTTGGTGTGACGGATGATATTGACGACTGGTGCGAGTACGAGTACGAATTATGACGGACGACGACTACGAGGATGGTGGTGGCAATGTAGCAAGATAATAGCTAGATGAAATAAAGCATTGTTTATTTATTACACGTTTGTTGGAGGTTGCTAGCTTGTGGATTACATACTATTGCTTCGAAGATGGAATAATAAAGGTGGTCCGGTTATCGGTCATGCAAGAAGTACATGGCTTTTGTGATACAATAAGGAGGAGTGTGAAGTGGGAAGTGGGATGACCTTGAGAAAAGAAAAAAGTGAAGAGATCCCTGCATTGAGTTTCAGGGTGAGTGACGAATTCAATATGTTTGTATACGCATCTTTTTAGTGTACAGATTGGTTTATGCAGCTCGACTTTCTTCTACATGCAAATGTGATGCATACCTTGACACACCTTCATTATTGGATGCTGTTTACTTACGTACCTTCACAAAAGGCAATCATCATCATCATCCATTTGTGCAGCTACCTGTCAAGGACGTGTCTGTGTAACCACCATGTGACATTTCACTCAGCTCTTCATCTTTTCGTTAATGCAGCCGACACCATCCACTAGGAGAAAGCAACTCCAGCACGCTTACAACATAGTAAAAACATAAAGGTGCATGTATCTCTAAACTTTACAATCAAACGTGGGGTTTTTATTAGAGCAATGTGCTCGGCTTGGCCAACTGCACCTTGTGTGAAAGTTTCAAGTTCAATGTCGCAACTAGCCCAAAAAATATTTTTTGGTCGTCGTCGTCGAAGAGGTCGACCCCCCGATCCAGTTTGGCTGGTGGCGACATTGCGAAATCTGGGATTGGCAAGCTTGATCGTGAAACTTGCACCCAAGGTGCAGTTGGCCAAGCCGAGCACATTGCTCTAATAAAAACCCCACGTTTGATTGTAACGTTCGGAGATACAGGCATCTTTATGTTTGTAAGCGTGATGCTATATGAAAAGTGGTCTTTGTTCATTGCCAAGTAGCTAGACCCTGGAGAGCCAAAGATGCAGAAGGACCTCTTTGGGTAACTCAGCTAAAAAGTCAGGACTTCAGGGACAATGCATGAAAGGTACGCAACCCTCAGTTTTATGTCATACATTGGCAGCCAATAGCCACTTTTGTGCATTCCCAACTTTTATGTATTCTATTGTAGTTGGACGATGCTCCTGCTCTAGACATTCATTTCCATGATTAAAGTAGGTTGATCCGAGCTGATTTGGTTGAGTTACGCTCACACAAGATTACATCGGTTGAGCTACATCGAGCGTGCTTTATGTCCAGAGTGATGTAATCTCTCTTTGACCACAGCTCAGTCAAATCAGCTC